GAAAATCTTCTTCTCTACTCCTAGGTATTAAATAAACCAACTTAGTGCATAGTTATGATGGGCAAGAGTGCTTCTACCGAAATTGTGAATTTAATGGCCCCAGGGTCTAGGGTTCTGGTGTTAGGGTGGGGCTCTATAGATTATATAGTGAAAATACAAGAGTTCTTTGAAAATCTTCTTCTCTGCTCCTAGGTATTAAATAAACTAACTAAGTGCATAGTTATGATGAGCAAGAGTGTCTCTACCAAAATTGTGAAATTTATGGCCCCAGGGTCAGGGGTTCTGGTGTTAGAGCGGGGCTCTGTAGATTATATAGTGAAAATACATGAATTCTTTGAAAATCTTCTTCTCTGTTCCTAGGTATTAAGCAAGTGAACATACCTATATAGTTATGATGAGCAAGGGTCCTTCCAGAATTGTGAATTTCAAGACCCCAGGGTCAGGGGTATCTTAATGCTTATATACTGAAAATGAATGAATTGTTTGAAATCTGCTCCTTAGTATTAATCAAATATTTTTGAAAAGCAAGGATGCTTCTTAAAAAATGTGCAATGTGTGGATGTAGGCCTAAGGGTCAAAGGTTCATGTGTGACAGGGGCACTACTGATTAGTTGAAATGCATTTTTACTCCCCTACCCTGCCTTTGGGTATTAAAGAACCAAACTTAGCAACTGCTAAGTGTATTGTTATGATGATTAATGGTGCCTCTTTTCAAAATTGTGATTGCAGTAGCATCTGGCTTAAAACATGAATCAAAGTGAATCACTGGAAAGTTGTTGCATAAGGCTCAGGTGACCTATAAGGCCCATGGGCCTCTTGATTTTTCCAAAGTGCGTTGTAACAATGCCTCTAGATTTTGAAGGCGACGTCAATGACGTCGATCAACCGAACTTGTCAATTTGGAACATAGGACGTTTGATTTTTATCACTTCAAGCTCTAAAATCACTTTTTAAAGAATTAATGTTTAAACTGAAAACTTAGATTATTATGTTTTATCTTAATCACACCCTATTACCGGCAACTGGGACAGCCGATGCAACTGTGACAACAGACGACAAAGTTGTTTTTTTGCTATGACAGCGACCTAATTGATATCATATTTTTGACTACTTACGTATTTACTTTCGTTTGGTGGTTTCCTGTCTTGATCTAACCTTAAACTATTTTTTTGTTCAGTATAAAAGTATATGATTTCTTGTTGAAACAAAATAAGAACAGAATAAAGTTAAATTTCATCATTGTTCAAGAAAAATTGGTCAAACTGAGCTTATAAAATAAACATAGGTAATCAGAGATTACAGAGCTCACCTCAACGAATGTTGTCTTTAAATAAGGCAAAGTCACACAATTAACCAACAAAAAGTGTACATTCCAAAAATGAAAATATTCATGCAATTGTGATTTGATACTTTGAAATAGACCTATATAAAAAATTCAAACTAGTTCTTCATGAAAATGTAATTAAAATCCAGCATCTGAAGCAAATTTGAGAGTTTTCATCCCTTGATGCATCATTTGTGCAAGTTTGGTTTACACAATGTTATATAAGCCTTATAGCTTTTTGGTAATAGACCTGCACCCATAACTTTTACCTGGTCCATTATCTGAAAAATGTATGTTGAATTCAGCATCCGAAGCAAGTCCATTAGTGTGCATCCTAAGATGTATCATCCATGCAAGTTTGGTCATTAAAGAACTCATAGTTACTTGGAAATGAAATCTGCAACAAAAACTTTAACCTGTTTACTCAAGCAGAAAATGTAGGTCAGATTCAGCATCTGAAGCAAGCCTGGTAGTATGCATCTTTAGACGTATCATCCATGCAAGTTAAGTCATTATAGGGCTCATATATTTAGAAATGAGACCTGCACCAAAACCTTTAACCTGTTTACTCAACCGGAAAACGTAGGTCAGATTCAGCATCCGAAGCAAGCCTGGTAGTATGCATCCTTAGATGTATCATCCACGCAAGTTTGGTCAACATAGGGCTTATAGTTACTTGGAAATGAAACCTGCACCAAAAACTTTAACCTGTTTACTCAACCGGAAAATGTAGGTCAGATTCAACATCCGAAGCAAGCCTGGTAGTATGCATCCTTAGATGTATCATCCATGCAAGTTTGGTCAACATAGGGCTTATAGTTATTTGGAAATGAAATCTGCACCAAAAACTTTAACCTGTTTACTCAACCGGAAAATCTAGGTCAGATTCAGCATCCGAAGCAAGCCTGGTAGTATGCATCCTTAGATGTATCATCCATGCAAGTTTGGTCATTATAGTGCTCATAGTTACTTGGAAATGAGACCTTCACCAAAAATTTAACCTGTTCACTCAACCGGAAAATGTAGGTCAGATTCAGCATCCTGCAAGCCCGGTAGTGTGCATCCTTAGATGTATCATCCATGCAAGTTTGGTCAACATAGGGTTTATAATTCCTTGGAAATATACACCAAAAAGTGCACCAAAAATGTTAACCTGCTCCAAAAACATTAACCTGGTCATTCCTCTGCTGAAATTGCAGCATCTGAAACTTTGACTGGTACAATGAAACACACTAGAAGCATCTTCCATGCATGTCTAATCAATATAGGACATAGAAGTACTTAAAAAGAAAACTGCTCCAAAAAACTTAACCTGGGACGCCGACACCGACACCGACGCCGACGCCGACACCGAGGGTATTACATAAGCTCCCCCAACTTCGTTGAGGTGAGCTAAAAACTGCTACTCCACGGTCACATTTCTTGTTGTATATGATTAATTTAGACTCTCTATGCCATAACTGTATAATGTGGATGGTCTTTGTTGATTGATAAGTGTGCTACAAGCGTTTGATTTTGTTGGGTCAAGAGATTTTGGCTGTCTTGAACAACAGATTTTCGTTAACATGGCAAACACTGACGACAGATAATAGCAATCGGTAACACCTTTATTTTAATATGGATTTCAACATTGATTTTTTTTTAAATATCAAGTTCATTGACAAAAATAGTGTCAGTCTATTTTGAAATGTGGTGTGCCACCCCACTAAATGAAAGAGTATGTTTACTTTGCAACAATGGAAAAATAGGTACGAAAACCACTACATTTTAGAATGTTCAGCTTTTTCAGAGATTAGGAAAAAAATTACATGGGTCATTCTCAAAAAATGTCCAGATTTCAGTGAAACAAGTTTTCTGGTAAATATTTTAATAAAATCAATTTTTTTTTGTGCTCATGAACTTAACAATGATCTAAAATTGGGAGGACAAATATAAGTAGGATTAAAAATTGATATAAACACTGAAAAAAATCCTTCCACATGAGTTAAATTAAAGAAAATTGCTTGTGATTTTGCCGAGGGTGTATTTTCAACCCTCCTTATTGAGACAGTCAATATAATTTGGGAGTATAAAATACCTTTAATGTATTGTAAAAATTATACAGGTTGTAACTTGTAAGCATATAGCGGGTTTTTTTAGCGGGTGAAAAATTTGCTTTTGTCTCACTATGCCAATAATTTTTGCAGAACTTTTTTTGGCGGACACCGAGTTACGTGAAATTGCAAAAGAGAAGTAATTCATTTTTTAAAATAAGTTTTAGTACATTTAATATACCTTTAAATACTAATTTACACAAAAGTATGAGTAAATACTACAGTATAACAGATGAAAGTTATATTGCTTCTACAACAGACTAATAAAAAGTTGTAAGTGATATTTCTTGTATCCAGTAGTGACAATGAAAAGTGCAAATCTGGCGATTAAAATTTTAGCGGCTTACCATGAAATCGCTAAAATAAGCCAAAGTTAACACCCCGCTTAAGGACCGATTTAGAGTATTCCTACATAAGGGAAGTCCTCTCTCCAAAGCTCACTGTTTTGTCTCACTTTGGAAGAGGACGAGGTCCTTTATTGGAACAAACTTCAACTCCCTTTATCCAAAGATAATTTGAGGCAAGGTTAAGAAAATCAAAGAGCATGACCTGACTGTCATGTTGTACATTTTTTATTTACTGGGTGGCAGTAAATACAAACAGGCTAATTTAGAGAATTTGAGGCCCGCAGAAGAGGAAAGAACTTTTAAAAATAATTATGCGGATGGAGGAGAATATAAACATCCATTGCTTAATTTAAGCCTTTAAAAACAATACCCAGAAAATGTGTTACACAAACAGAATACTGTCATCAATGTTTGTTGGGGATTGATGTTCTTGGATCTCGTGGGTCAACCTTGTCCACATATTACATCCTCACAAACATTGTCAGCATATTTATTCATTAAATCTTCTGTGTATATGAGTTACTCATGAATAACATTCCCACCATTCAACAATTTCTTTTATTCTTTTTCCATGAAACAGTGACCCAACAATTTAAAATGATTCCACTATATATAAATTTAGAACATTTACATTTAAACTTTTGACCTCAAGATTTACAGGGTTTTTTTCATGTCATAGGGAGTTGTGACATTTAAAATTCCTATTGAAAATGCTTGACGAAAACTGCTTATCTTCTGTAAAAATATGAAATGTACAAGTTTTTTTAAACCTTGACCTATGATCCTTTGACCTCAAAATCACGGAGTCTTTTTAGGCTAAAAGTAGATGTTAGGTAAAATTTCACTGAAAAATCTCAAAGGCTTCTTCACATATCGCCTAGAAACTTAACGTTACACTTGGACAAAATGTATGAGTTCATGACCTTGACCTCTTTACCTTAAAATCAAAAATGGTCTTTCTAAGAACATAGGGATTCAATATGATATTATAACATTTCATTGCAAAAGCTCAAAGCGTTTATTGCCCTGAAATGAAGAGTGTTACACACAGACAGATCCCCATTAATATTCCCCACTTTCAATGGAAGTGGAAAACAAATACTGTACTTCTTTGGACAAAAGAAAATCAGTAAAACAATTTCATACTTTGTATCATTGAATTGATTATTTTTTTTATCAGAATTTCCATTTTCAATTCACTCAGTAAAAAAAAAAGGCAAATTTAAACAAATAGAATAATATTTATCACAATTTATTTCTTAGGCTTCTTTCCTTGTCTTTTGGTAGCCATTTCACTCAGTTTCTTATCCATCTTTTTCTGTAGCTGCGCCTTGCGTGCTGGGTCTGGTTTTTTATCAGGTACCCCACTTCCCCTGTACAGAACACCCTCCCTAACAATGGTGGCTCGGGCATGAATCTTGGCTGCTTCCCCACAGCCGTGAATCTCAGGCATGTGATGATTCAGGCAGAATCTCCTCCTACAGAAATCACACATCTGCCCCAGGGTCTGAGTACTTGTCTTACACTTCTTAAAGCTGCACTCCTTATCCACACTCTGAACAGCAGCTATCAAGCTATCTAAATCATCCCCATCCACCTTCTCAAGCTTAGCCACTACATCGGCATGAGCATTCGGAGCTCTTGGTGTATTGTCTTTCTGCTTTTTCCCTCCTGAATTGGCAGACGTTGGAGCAGATTTTTGTCTTTGTAATCTCAGACAGTGTGTCTCATGTAGTTGGATGTTAGCTTTGATGACAGACTTGCTACAATGTCTACACACCACTTTATCAGGCTCTTTCTGAATAGGGACTTCTATCTTCTCTTCTGGAGCTTGTATCCTTGTATCAACCTCTAAGCATCGCTTCTCATTTTCACTGTGTTCAGATCTTTCATCTACAGAAGTCTCAGAACTGGACGGCACAGTATACTGGGTAGAACCAGAATTCTTACTCCCCGGTTTGGACACAACCAGATGGCGGTCTTTTCCAGATCCTTTACTGATGTGAACCAATCCCATTTTTTCTGACAACTAAAACATTAAATATATTTCAATTCTACATGTACACTATACAACTAAATCTCAGTTTATATGGAAGATACCGCATAGCCGGTTTTCTTGGCGGGTGTAAAATTTGGCGGTTTGCTTGCTCAAAGATATGCCAATAATTTTGGTGAATTTTATTTTAGCAGACAGCCGGACACAGCGATTCAGCTCTTTGCAGATGAACACAAAGAAGAGTACTGACTATTTTAGCGATAAAAATTTAAGCGGACTACCATCTAAACGCCAAAATAAGCCAAAATTAGCACCCCGCTAAAATAATTATAACCCGCTATACGGTAATTTAACTTAATAATATAGAGAGTTTTAAAAAGTTAACAGAATTCCAATTTTTACACAAAAAATGTACTTGTAATATTCAATGTACTGTATAAATGGTTATTTTCACTCCGTATTATTTTTCGCCCTTTCACACTTGCAGACAATTTTGTCCCATTTTGAATTCGCCCTTTCATAGTTTTATTTCAGTAATTATAATCTATTCTCTCAATTTGCCCAAATGAGGGTAGGGCAAAAGGGGCGAAAATAAATCAGAGGCAGAAATTTCCCTGTATACAGTATTTGAATTTTCTTTATCTTCTTTCTTATAATAATATTGACAAAAATTGGCATGTAGATTGGAAAAGAGGGTTAAAAAACATCCCAATTACCTCATGGACAAGCATTCTGTCATGAGAATTCAAGGTAGAAGGAAATTCCAGCTCATCTGAGGAGGTTTCCTGTACAAATTTATCTAGATACCCCTGAAATTCTTTGATCCTCTCATCTGTCTGCTCTTGTGTTCTGGAATACAAATCATTAATGCTAGGATCACTGTATGTGAGTGTTGAAAGTAAAATGGCATAAATTATTTTAAATTGATCCTCAATCATTAACCAATTAACTCATAACAAAATATATATTTATTTTACAAAAAAAACATTACTCTTTCAAAAAAAAACCTACTTGTGATATTTCTCTGTAACTGGAGCTTCAAGGTTTTCTGTTTTTACTGGTTTCTTTTTGTTTTGAGATTTCTGTTGATTTTTGGCAGACTTGGGTTTTGTCCCTTTATTGCTGTTTGGTAAGGTCAAGAGGTCATTAAGGTGGTCTGGTCTTGTTAAAGTGTTATACACTACTCCAGCTAAAAATACACATTGATAAAATGATAATACACTGTAATGATATTCTTGTGTTTTTACAGAAAATACTGGTAACTACTCAATGTCTTTTCAGAGAAATTGCAATAAACTTGAGCAATTAGCTCAAAGACTTTTACTTGTATGGTTATTCATCAGTTCATCACTTGATGAAAACACATACATTTGCAAATTCATAAAGTTCATTTGTTAAGAAATTCTAGGTCTATTTACCTTCTACAAATTCCTGGGCTGTCTTCACTACCCCGTGACTTGACATATAATCTACTAGAGATTTAAGGAAGGAGTCATGTCCCACAGTCTCACTGTCACACACCACCGCTAGGTGGCGCCTTGCTCTTGTTACAGCGACATTGATTCTTCTTTTTTCTGCTAAAAATCCTACTTCACCTACAACAAATAAAATCAAAATCAGCATTTTTTTAAAGAAAACTTAATGAATTTTATTGATACAAATGGTAAACAAATCAGTCAAACTACATAATTTATATACATGTACTCTGTAGACTTTTGTAAAATATTTTGTGCTAATTATCTATCTTAATTTTTTTTGTGTGTTTGTACATGTACCTTTTGTATTGCTTCTGACTAGTGAAATAATCACAGCCTCTTTCTCTCTTCCTTGAAATCCATCTACAGATTTGATCTCTACTTTTGGGTAATTACTGGAAAGTCTTAATCTCAACAGTTCAACCTGAAATTGCAGCTAGCTTGTAGTAATCGTGGTTAAATTTATTTACGAAAAAAGAAATTGTTTTGGCAATTTCATTTACAAAATGTAATACTGTACAATCTCTTGAGTTCACTTGCCTAATTTTTTTAATTAATACATTTATTTACATAAAATGAGTGTTATTTAAATCACTGTAGCTTGATGTCAAATAAGTTCACTTAGTACCTGTAAGTTGTAAGGGGCAATCACTGCTATCTCCTGTTGATCTACTCCAAGGTTAATCAGCTTCTCAACATGGTTACTGACAATATCTGCCTCTCCTATATGTGGATATGGATATGTGGTTAAATAAAGTTGAAAAAGTGGCTTTTCTTAGTTCAGATCTGCTTGTATCATATGAGAAAGGTTTGGTGTTTAACTGAAGATAAGCCATTTTCTTAACATAGATATATTTCAGATGGCTATTCTTGAGTCTATCTCAACAATCTTCATTTGGGCAAAGAGGCAACAACATTTTAGGATGGCAAATACTGGTACATGTTATATTACAAACCTTCATTTCCTTTGGAGATTTCCTCTGGAACGTCGAGTTCGTAGAGCTGACACCCAGCAGTGTCTATCAACAGTAGAGGCTCAGATGTTTCTTCTGATTCCTCAACACTTTCTATATCCCTGTCAATGATAAAACATTGATCATAATGGGTGGAAAAGTTGTTAAAGATACTCTTCATTTACCAGTACCTGATATATTCATTTCTTTTTCTATAAATCATGATTTATCTTTATATACACATATGCTACAAGCAATATATCTCTAGAAATCACCTGATTTATTACTTGTTATCTCTTATTTAAAACATTTACAGTGTACTACAAAATCCTTGGGAGTTTATTACCTCAGAAGATGACTAGCCACAGAGCTATGAGCTGTGAGTTTCCCTTCATACAACTGGTCAGATGACCACTGCATGATGAGTTGATGCATTCTGTACTGAGTGGTCAACATCCTCATGACCTTGTCACCATAAAGGTCAAGGACTCTCTCCATCAAGGTCTTCTCAAGGCCAGCAATGGCAGCTCTAAGAAATCAATTTTTGTAATTTTTTTTAAATTAATACAACAAATTACCATTGATAACCACCAAGTTTGAGTGCAACTTTAATTTGAATAGATATCATACATGCATCTTGAATTTATTACATTGATGTAGAATTTAATTTCATTCACCTAACGGATCCTTCTTTTATTATATAGGTATGGTATTCATCATATCAAGTTGAGGAGGGGTAAAGGTTGTGATTTTTCACCCATGTTGTCTATTTATTTAATTGAGAGACATCATATTTGGGTTGTAAGAACTTGGCTCAGTTTGAAATCAACATTGTTTTAAATTCTAATCATGTCCTTCTCCAGATATCACACACATTTGATAAAGGAAACATAGGTAATCAGAGATTACAGAGCTCACCTCAACGAATGTTTTTATTAACCAACGTATATACATTCCAAAAATGAAAATATTTTTAAAAGCAATTTTGATCTGATACTTTGAAATAGACCTACATAAAAAATTTAAACTATTTCTTCTTCATGAAAATGTAATGAAAATCCAGCATCTGAAGCAAATTTGAGAGTTTTCATCTCTTGATGCAGCATTTGTGCAAGTTTGGTTTATACAATGTTATATAAGCCTTATAGTTTTTGGTAATAGATTTTTACCTTGTCTATTATCTGAAAAATGTATGTCCAATTCAGCATCCGAAGCAAGTCCATTAGTGTGCATCCTTAGATGTATCATCCATGCAAGTTTCCTCATTATAGGGCTCATAGTTTATTGGAAATGAAACATGCATCAAAACTAACATTTTCACTCATCCACAAAAAGTAGGTCAGATTCAGCATCCGAAGCAAGCCTGGAAGTATGCATCCTTAGATGTATCATCTATGCAAGACTGGTCATTAAAGAACTCATAGTTCCTTGGAAATGAAACCTGCACCAAAAAGTTTTAACTATTCACTCAACCGGAAAATGTAGGTCAGATTCAGCATCCGAAGCAAGCCTGGTAGTGTGCATCCTTAGATGTATCATCCATGCAAGTTTGGTCAACATAGGGCTTAAAGTTACTTGCAAATGAAACCTGCACCAAAAACATTAACCTGTTCACTCAACTGGAAAATGTAGGTCAGATTCAGCATCTGAAGCAAGCCCGGTAGTATGCATCCTTAGATGTATCATCCATGCAAGTTTGGTCAACATAGGGCTTATAGTTACTTGGAAATGAAACCTACACCGAAAACTTTAACCTGTTCACTCAACGGAAAATGTAGGTCAGATTCAGCATCCGAAGCAAGCCCGGTAGTATGCATCCTTAGATGTATCATCCATGCAAGTTTGGTCAACACAGGGCTTATAGTTACTTGGAAATGAAACCTGCACCAAAAACTTTAACCTGTTCAAACCGGAAAATGTAGGTCAGATTCAGCATCCGAAGCAAGCCCGGTAGTATGCATCCTTAGATGTATCATCCATGCAAGTTTGGTCAACACAGGGCTTATAGTTACTTGGAAATGAAACCTACACCGAAAACTTTAACCTGTTCACTCAACCGGAAAATGTAGGTCAGGTTTAGCATCCGAAGCAAGCCCGGTAGTATGCATCCTTAGATGTATCATCCATGCAAGTTTGGTCAACATAGGGCTTATAGTTACTTGGAAATGAAACCCACACCAAAAACTGCACCAAAAATGTTAACCTGCTCCAAAAACATTAACCTGGTCATTTCTAAATTCTTTGCTGAAATTGCAGCATCTGAAACTTTGACTGGTACAATGAAACACACTAGAAACATCTTCCATGCATGTCTAATCAATATAGGACATAGAAGTATTTAAAAAGAAAACTGCTCAAAAAAACTTAACCTTAACCTGGGACGCCGACACCGACGCCGACGCCGAGGGTATTACATAAGCTCCCCCAACTTCGTTGAGGTGAGCTAAAAATTGAAAATATCTGAATTTCTTTAAAACCAGATACATACAAATCCAAACTTATATGACCCCAGTAGACTGTAGTAACAATGATATTAAATACATGCTCACTCTTTACTCAGTATAGTTGGTGGGAGCTGTAAATGGTCCCCTGCCAAAATACAGCGTGGAGCTCTCAAAAGGGGAATCCAACAGGCTGCCTCAACTGCCTATTTAAAGTAAAGTATTTAACATAAAATTCTACAAACAAATGTTTGTCTTTCACAAATCTACCTTTATTCATTCAAGAATATTGCTATTTTCCTGTTTTTCAATGGCAACATTTAATGTTCAAATCATTTGATTTTGATTAGAAATATTTGAGAACCTGTGAACATTCATCAATCACGACTAAATCAAAGTGTTCTTTATCCAGGTATTTGATTGGTCCTTTTATATCTGCTGAGCTGAGCGTTGCCAGGACAACATCAGCTCGTTTCAGGATCTCCCTGGATGCTGCCTCCTCTCTCTGCAATAGCTCCTTTCGTAAAAACTTTATATCTTCTTTAATTTTCTGTTTTTCTCCGCGATCTCTGGTTTTTCTAATTGATGACTATGGAAAAAAGAATCATTTGTAAATCATCTTTCAACATTGTGTCAACAAGTTTCAATACTTCATGTAGCATGTAATGTCATGTCTTCTAAGAAAACTGACCTAAAAGATAAGCATAAAAAAATCTTTTAAAAATAATTTAAGAATTAAAAAACTGTATTAAAAACAAAAATTTCCCAAGAAATTGAACAGACAAAACTTGAAGACACAAACCAGATTTTTATCCAGATCTTTGCGGACATCTTCCACCAGCCGAGTTTCTTCACTAGTTGACAAGATGGCGTCCAGTGAGTATTTTTGGATGTGTGGTAGCACGCGAGCGGGATGACCCAGTCTGACCACCTTCTGTTTATGACTGGCCAGTCGCTCCACTAAATTGTCCACAGCAATGTTAGATGGGGCACAGGCTAATATCTACAATATATCAGAGTAGGATCCTCTTAGCTATAAAATTCCTGTTTCTTTTATCTGAATTTGCATCAAGGATGTAAATTATACAATGCACCGGTATTTTGTCAATGTTTTTGTTCAATAGAAACTAGTGTTGGCAAATAAAAAAATTACTCGCTCACGAGTACCTGGTTACTCGCATGATTTATTCATATTCATATATTAATATCATTTATCTCATCCTTTACCCATCGATAGTAATAAAACACAAATATATTGTGAATGAACTTTATTTATAAACTGAAATATACATACGCATGCACTATATTGAAAGAATTTTGATATTATCATATAAAAAATTAACTAAATCATAAGAAGAAAAATAGATATTCAAGTGTACATTGGTGTTCATCAAAATATATGACGATCAAGTAATTATTTTTAAAAATTGTGGTCACAACCTTACAGAATATTTTATTTACTATTCTTTTTAAAATACTTTCAAACTACATGTATATATGTCTTTTGCGGTATCTTGTTAAATTATTTAATGAGGTAATTATAACTCGGGTCTTCAAAACTTGTATAACCTGCTGGCAATCAAAGCTATTCAATAATGAACTGTTAGAACTAATCAAAACAAATTGATCGTATTAGTGAAACACTGGATAATTAAGTCTAACAGTAAAGAAAATTAGAGGAATGTTTAATGTATACGGTTATAAAAAAATAACATTTTATTTTTTATTTACTATGTAAGATGCATTTTTATCCGAGTAACCGAATATCAATTTTACTAACAGATACTTGAATCGTTAACCAGTTAACCGGGTACTAAAAAAATAACCACAAGACCTTGTTTTATGCCTTGTTTGACATATTTTATTTACAAAACATGAGTGGTGGATGACCTCTAGCCTTGTTGCCCTTTTTGTCTGATCGTTAGATTTCAAGACCTTGTTGCCTTGTTTGACATACCACTATATTGTTGCCTTGTTTGACTGACCTTTAGACTACATGTACTTGTTGCTTTGTTTGACTGATCTTTAGTCTTTGTGACCCTGTTGCCTTGTTTGACATGTTATTGCCCTCTTTGACTGATTTTTGACTGCACGACCTTGTTTGACAGTTCTTGTTGCCTTTTTGTATGACCTTTAGACTTCATGACCTTGATCCCCTGTTTAACTGAAATCATTGTCCTGTTTGACTGACCTTGTTGTCCTGTATGACTGACCTTGTTGTCCTGTTTGACTGACCTTGTTGTCCTGTATGACTGACCTTTTGGTCCTGTTTGACTGACCTTGTTGTCCTGTATGACTGACCTTTTGGTCCTGTTTGACTGAACTTGTTGTCCTGTTTGACTGACCTTGTTGTCCTGTTTGCTTGACCTTGTTGTCCTGTATGACTGACCTTGTGATCCTGTTTGACTGACCTTGTTGTCCTGTTTGCTTGACCTTGTTGTCCTGTATGACTGACCTTGTTGTCCTGTATGACTGACCTTGTTGTCCTGTATGACTGACCTTGTTGTCCTGTTTGACTGTCCTTGTTGTCCTGTTTGACTGACCTTGTTGTCCTGTTTGACTGACCTTGTTGATCTGTTTGATTGACCTTGTTGTCCTGTTTGACTGACCTTGTTGTCCTGTTTGACTGACCTTGTTGATCTGTTTGACTGACCTTGTTGCCCTGTTTGACTGACCTTGTTGCCCGACCTTGTTGCCCTGTTTGACTGACCTTGTTGCCCAACCTTGTTGCCCTGTTTGACTGACCTTATTGATCTGTTTAATTGACCTTGTTGTCCTGTATGACTGACCTTATTGATCTGTTTGACTGACCTTATACTTCTCTATTTTACTGACCTTGTTGCCCTGTTTAATAGCCTGGATAATGATTTCTATGACAGTTGTAGTTTTCCCTGTGCCTGGTGGACCATGAACGATAGCTACCTCGGGCTGAGCAAGAGCAAACTGAACAGCATCCTGTTGTGATTTGTCTAACTGGTTATTAACCAAGTGTACATCTGAAATCATAAATAACTGGTTATTAACCAAGTGTACATCTGTAATCATAAATAACTGGTTATTAACCAAGTGTACATCTGAAATCATAAATAACTGGTTATTAACCAAGTGTACATCTGAAATCATAAATAACTGGTTATTAACCAAGTGTACATCTGAAATCATAAATAACTGGTTATTAACCAAGTGTACATCTGTAATCTTAAATAACTGGTTATTAACCAAGTGTACATCTGAAATCATAAATAACTGGTTATTAACCAAATGTAGATTCATAAATAACTGGTTATTAACCAAGTGTACATCTGGAATCATAAATAACTGGTTACATAATATGAATTATTAAATGTGTATCTGTAATAATGAATAACTGGTTATTAACCAAGTATTATCTGGAATCACAAATAACTGAGATTATAAACCAAGTGTATACAGTGTATCTTGAAGCATAACATTTCACTCTTGTAAGGGATGAAATATCAATACTTCAGTCCATCAAATATTTATCAGGTGTTTTATACTGTACAGTAATGCACTTAAACATTAATAGATTGCTGTCCATAATCTTATGACTTTAAAGAATAACCATATGTTAGAAATAACATTTATCATAAATAACTTCATTTTCACAGAACAATAAATTTCAGATATGTTTTCAAAATTGTACCAACCTTTAGTAATAAAAGGAGGAGAAAGGTTTGTTTCCCCAAATAACACATTAACAAGTTTACTTGACAAACCAAAATCTCCCTTTTTCAGATTATTCAATGCACTAAATGGAAGAAAAAGAATAAACATAGTACAGTAAGCATTATATTATCCATATTGCATTGACACAAAAGACTAATTTCAATCATTATAATTATCATGTCACTTAATATTATTGAAGAAAAACTTTCAATTACATGTACATATTGTGGTAAGTTAATTTACTCTCACTTTTTCAGTCTTTTGTAGGTGACATCGTTGGCTAGCTTGGTGAGTTTATACTGGTCGTCCTCATTCAGGTTGAACAAATCCTCCTTCTCATCAAAGGCCACACTGATGGCCGACTTCCCTGCGTGAGTGACGATGCCTGACCCCAGACCCTCCTCCCCAGGGGGAGCAGAACTGGCATTCAAACCCACTATATCACCTGTCAAAAGGGAGGACAACATAAAGAAACTTACATGAAAAAATACCCCCTATTATAATCATATAAAAATTTACACGCATTGTTTATTTCATATTGACTCTGCATGTATAAATTAATTATTTTTCCAGAACTACAATGCAACATTTTTATGTATAGGCCTGGAATAAGAATGACTCTTAATTTTTAAAAGATACATGTTTGATAATTTTTCAATGTATAGTCACTTTGCGTACTGAATCTTGCATTCCAGGGTGTCATATACTTCACAATTTTAACACTATTTCTCAGTAGTTTTCTTGCTCTATACCACATACTGATGAATTAAGATTTTCAGAGTTAAGATTTCATTTTCTTGTCAAAGCTCCTTCTCCTCCTCCTTTATTAAAAGTTATCCAAAATGGATGTTTGCATGAAATTAATGTTCCAAATATCGTACCTGGTGAAAGATTATGAGCAGGTAACTCTTGATTTCCACCTCCAGGTTCAAATACGATGACTGTTCTCCCATAGAAGCCAGTACGACGTGTCTTTATGCGGAGCTTCAGTAAGCACACACCTCGTCTCTGGAGCTCTTTAGGTGGTAAACTCTCATTTAGATGTCTGTAATTAATAGCTACTTGATGAGTGATGAAATAATAATTGTGGTTCATGCACTGCATGTGATATGAACATACATGACACATAATACAGGTTGAATTCACTAAGCATATGCTGATATAGACATTTATCTTTCCGTCTGATATTTTGTACTAATCGGTCATAATCAAAGGTATGTAACTATCACAATACATTAGTTTATGTCGACTGTCAATAAGAAAAATCTTGTTGAAAGACAGTTTGAAAGAGGTCTGGACCGTGTAAGAGGAAATTCGGGGTCAAATGGGGAAAATGAGAATAACTTCAATACATCAAGTTCTCACCTTGTTTCTTCTATCTCTGTTTCTCGTTCTTTCTCAAGGAGTTGTATATGTTGATTGACAAATCTTTCTAAAGTCATATTAGGCCTAGTTAGTCAGACAATGTTTAAATACCAGCATAAAAGTGTCTGTCACTCGTGTTAGTATTACTATCACAATACTGTTTCCCAATATTACCCAATGCCAAAAACAATGATATTGAATCAGAATATTTAGGTGTGCACAATGTCAACTGATATAATAGCACGGTAGGGTGAATTCATCATTCATCATTTAAGAATCATTTCCCCCTTTACACCTAAATGTTAGAAACTATGGAAACAAGTATGCCTACCGTGTCCTATTTTTACCCTGTCCAACTCCTGTCTTCCGGGTCAGCTAAGGTGGGTTAATTTTTCTAGATTCGAGTTAATTTCCATTTGCTAGAACCAGAGTCTTTGTCAATTTCTTTAGATAAAGACCAAACATTTTATTGTATACACTCAAAAATTTTATAAATATTGTGATTTTTAATTATGTCAGTTCCTGGTAGTGAGAGATTGGTACAATGTGTGAAACCGAAAGTAGAAAATAAGCCGAAGGTGCCATTCTTAGATTGAGAAATCTTTAGCCAAATAAGTATTAACAACGAAAATCTCTAAATGAGAAATACACCCACCGCTCTACATTAATGACAGGATTTTGTGTAGTGAAGGAGTGAAGATTTAACTGAACAGTCTTTAAACAGGTCCAGGACAATCTCTTGATTTAGCTATATAGCTTTAAATAGCTATATAGCTTTATTAAGCTATTCAGAATAGCTTTATTTAGCTATTTATATACAGTTTTTCACAAAAATGTTTTTTGCTGAAAATAAACAAAAAGTCGCATGTATTTGACTCTTCATACATGTACTATGGACTATTAAAACAACAACCAAAATCAAAGATAGTTCTAACTTTGCAGCTTTTGAATACTTTTCAGCAAAAAGAGAATTTCTATTGTTAGACTAACTGTCCACTACCTTGGGTGCCTTGAGGCAAGGAAAAGTATGATTGCTTCTCATTGTGCTGAACTGTTACCAATCAATTATCTTGTTGAACATAATTGGTCTCCATTATAATATCATTGCAGAAGTAGCTGTATCAATTGCTTTATATAGCCCCAAAACATGTAGAACTTTGAGTACAAAGTCTCTCAAGGAGACATAATTTGATGAGTGATTTTTACATGCATTATTTTCAGAAGAGTTCAAAGTTGTATATCATCACTGCACCAAGGTGCGCTTTTTTGTACATACTGAGAAAATTACACCTTTAAGAAAAAAGTGTTGTAAAATAGCTAAATTAAGCTATACTGAATAGTTTAATAAAGCTATATAGCTATTTAAAGCTATATAGCTATATCAAGAGATTGTACTGGACCTGTTAAACGCTTTGACCCAAATCCCCAGCATGGTTATTTTTTTTAATACGCATATTGAATGCATGTTTATTGGGGGAAGACAACAGAGCCATGATTATTCATAGTGATGTAGAAACATTCTCAGGTATTGTATATTCAAGTTTTTTTCAAATTTCTATCCCATTGATCTCCAGGGTTAGGATTCCGAAATAAGACCACATTTAAAAACAGCAAAGCCCTGATAAATCATATGAATCACATGAATATGGAAGCATTTTAAGATATATTAGATTCAAATCATGACAGTGTTAGGCTACAACATGGGGATCAAAGTTTTATTTAGGAATAAATAGGAGATCAAATCTGATGAAAAATGGCAGAGGTATGTTGGCTCAGGTGAGCATTATGGCCCATGTGCCTCTTGTTTCTTAATCGTGCCCTCTTCATTGAATTTACGTAAATTTCAATGTATTTGAGAACATGGAATATTAAGTAAAGTACTTATTTATATTCATCAAACATGTACAGTTGAAGGCAATTATTTTTAATGTGTTATGATGCAAAGCAATGAAAGGTGATCTTGTTTTTTAATACATGTAACACAATATAATTTCTTTAATATTTGATTTAATATTTGGTAATAGTATTTATGTCTTTTACAGAACTTGAAGTGGAAACTATGTTTTTGTAACTATGGGAAATAAACCAGGAAAGGTAAGAATATTGATTAATGCACTTAAATAGGTAAATGTAAAAAAAATATTAATTTAAGCCCTATACTGTAAGCAAGACTCCATTGATCTTTGCTTGTAGTTTGTCAGTCATCTCTTGGTCTTTCTTTGTTTACTATTGTTTACTTTTTACATCTTCATCCATTTTTTCAGAACCATTTGGCCAATTTCAATTTGTCAACAAAATTTGATACAACCTCCTTTGCCTTTTACCCTGTATAATGTAGAACCTCCTTTGCCTTTTACCCTATATAATGTAGAACCTCCTTTGCCTTTTACCCTGTATAATGTAGAACCTCCTTTGCCTTTTACCCTGTATAATGTAGAACCTCCTTTGCCTTTTACCCTGTAAAATGTAGAACCTCCTTTGCCTTTCACCCTGTATAATGAAGTTTCAACTCATGGCTACTGGAGGCTGAAACACCTTATCTTATTAATATTACTTTCTCCCATTTTGAGTCGTTTTACTTTACCAGTCAGTTTTAATTTTTTGATTGGAAGAATATTGCAACCCTATCAACCTCTATACGTAATTCTAGATCCTTGACTGTTAAATATTCCCATCCATTGTAAACTAGTACACATACATTGTATTGAAATAGTCTTATCACAACAAATTGATATTTCATTTCAAAAGTAATGAGTCTTTAAATGACACAAATGAGACAAATGTTTTCATTTCTGTTTTATATTTTATACAAAACTTGTTAAAATATCAATATATACATATAGATAGCTCCTTAAGATTTCCATTATCTGAGTCAGGTCAGTACAGTAGGTGAAGTCATAAATATTGAATACATGTGTGACAGACTAGTCCTAAGAATGAAAAATATACATATACATGTGTAATCTACTTTACAGAGTATATATGTTGTGTGAGTAATGGTAATTGCAATATATGGACATGTAATAAGATTTATTGTGCAGTTTCCTAGGACACTTACTATTGTACATATAAGTGAAATAGGTTTTTACTTTTAGACATTGAGAGGAATGAATTCCTCTTCAACACAGGTCACCATTCATTAATTCATAGAACAAAAGTTCAAAGGGAACAAAATATTGATGAAAGGGGAAAAAAAATGTTGCTTTATAATAAATTGGAAAAAAATGCAAATAAATTATTAAGTGTTCAATTCATTCATTTTTCCTTAATGAAATGATAAGAATTTTGGAATTGATTACAATTTGAGGAATTAATACACTGTGGATTTCAATTTATTATCTTGCAATTGGTATTGTGATATTTTCTAATGACAAAATGAATATCATAATAAGGAGACCCTACTGTATTATACCACTGAATTTGAACTCTTTTACATGCTTTGTTTAGGGGAACCGTAATAATTAAGTTTCATGGGCTGTAGTCATGTGATTTTTTAAACATTTGACCTACTTTTCATGTGTAGGAGGATGATGGACCCTCCAAAAAATCGTCATCACACGAGAAGACAAAAGGTGCCACGGGGGAGTCCATCCCAGGTCGTCAGAGATCAGCGGTCAGTGAAAGTACACAGGAGAGTACACCAGCCGTAACGGGGCACAGAACCAAACGTTACAGTGACAGTAACTTCACAAAGTCAGCAGCTGTAAAGGTAATATTGAAATCCTGTCAGAGATGCTCCTCTTACATTCTTATACGTAGAAAAAAAAAACTGTTTGTACACAACTGACCTATATATGTGCATTAAGATTTGAATTTATCTTTTTGGACCTAAGGATTGAAAAAAAGGATGTCTAAGAAGAAAAAGATTTTTTTTTCGCATACACATACAATGACAATGTCATGTAGATTTAGATTATTTGTGGATATATAGATATATGGAAATATATTGGAAAAAATCAATCCATACTACATATCCTATAAAAAGAATACCAATAGTAAAATATTGTTTCTACTTAATTTGCTAATGTTAGTGATTGTGAATACCATTTACCATGGTTTACAACAAGCATAAAATAAACTTAAGTATAACTTGTGATGTATGTTCTGTAAATATTGTTGGTCATAAATTTGTTAAGCATTTTAGAAAAAAAAATGTAATAAAAACAAGCAGGTATAAGTTAGGTTGTGAATGCCATATTACAACAAGTAGGTACAAGGGTTGTCCATAAAGTTTATATATAGAAAAATGCTATAATTTTCTTAATAATGATGACACTGCTAAATGTGTTCAATATTAATTTGATATAAAGACTGACATCACTTCAGTGCACAACATTGTACATGTACATTCTTTCATGCTAACTTTTGTTGTTTTTCAGGAGAAAACTGCAGACCCACAAAAGACTACCCATGTCAGATCTCCAAGTGCTGTAAGTACCTCGATTGGTCTGTCGGTCCACCAAGATTGTGCTCATTTTTTGCAGAGGTTACACATACTGAAATGAAATTTGGTGGTAGACAGATTAATCATAAGAATATTTAGGTCCAGATTTGTTTTCGAAATGATTGAGCAATTTTTGACAGAGTTATGTCCCTTGGACTTAGAAAAATTCTAATTCCTTGCAGTTTCTGTTCATTTTCTTTGCAGAGATTGCACATACTGTAATGAAATTAGGTATACAGATTTATCATAAGAATATATATGTCAAGTTGTATTTTGGTACAATCAAGCAAATTTTGACAGAGTTATGTCCCTTGGACTTAGAAAAATTCCAATAATTTTCAGTTTCCATTCATTTTCTTTGCAGAGGTTGTACATGTACATACTGAAATGAACTTGGGTAAACAGATTTATCATAAAAATGTCGGGGTCAAGTTCTTTTTTTTGGTAGAATTGAGCAATATTTGATGGAGTTATGCCCCTTCGATTTTGAGGATTTTTTAAAAAGATTTTCGGAAAAATTACAGTTCATTATTATTTGCAGTTTCTGCTTGTTTTTTTATGCCCCCCTTCGAAAGAAGGGAGGACATATTGCTTTGCTGCTGTCTGTCAGTCCACTTAGTTTCCGTTCATTTTCTTCGCAACCGTTGCACATACTGAGATGAAATTCGGTATACAGATATATCACATGAATATCTAGGTCAAGTTTTATTTTGGGTACGATTGCACCATTTTTGGCAGCGTTATGCCCCTTGGACTTCAATTATTTGCTTTCCGCATTTTCTTTGCAACCGTTGCATAATGAAATTAAATTTGGTATACATATCTGAAATAAAATTTGACAGTTATGCCCCTTGGACTTAGAAAAATTTCAATTATTTGCAGTTTTCACATTTTTTCCAATACACATCTAAATTTGGTCATGTTCTTGGTCAAGTTCTGTTTTGGTACGATCACACCTTTGGATTTTTTTGACAGTGTTTTAAAAACATCTCTTGTTATGCCCCTTGGTTGCGTGACTTAGAAAAATTTCAATTATTTGCACAATGTGTAGATGTGCATATTACGGAAATTCCAATTCCATTCTCCACAACCGTTACACATACCGCTGCACAGATGAAATTTGGTATACACAATGTGTATTTATCAGATGACTTATTTTTTCTTGGTTTCCAACTTTTCTGTTTATTGCCTTACCTTAAATATAGAGATGAACATTTTGTCAGCGCAACTCCTCATAAACCGCTGCACAGATTTTCGTCAAACTTTATTTTTAGGACACAGTGTGTAGATGTGCATGTTCCCTTGGACTTTTCAAATTAGGAAAAATATATACCAATTTTATAGATATTTAGGACACAGTATGTAGATGTGCATATTACCAGGAAATTCCGGGGATTTTTGGCCATACCTTGAATATACAGATGAACATTTTGTCACAAACATCTCACAATTGTTCACATTCCGTATTTTTCTGTCCACTTTACAACTTAGATTTTTGGGGATATCTTGAATATAGTGGTGAACAGTTTGTCAGTGCAACTCCTCATAAACCCCTGCACAGAATTTCATTAAACTTTGAAGATATTTAGGACACAATTTGTAGATGTGCATATTACCGTTCCGTTTCTCATTTTTTCCGAAACTTTGATCTCTTGTTTTTTCATTTCTGTGTTTTTCCATATACTTTTCAGGTCTGGAAAAATGATGGTGCAGAAGTTGTTGAAGTGGTAAGAAACTCTAATACATGTATATGTATATACATTATATTTGCATCATTCAGTGCTTTTGATAAAAGAGAATAAGATGTTTTGTTTTACCATGATTCAAAGGAAAGAGAAAGGTTAAAATGGGATCCTAAATTTTTGACACCAATTAAAAAAGGAAAAAGCAATTCTTCAATTGCAAAATTCTTATTTCTCTATATGTAAAGGATTGAACATTTCTTATGTGCAGGTTACTTCTCTTATCCAAACATTTAATATTCATCTTGATTGTCTTCTTTTCAACTTACATGTACAATGGGTTAGGGATGAAGGGGGATCACTTCATATAATGAACTTGAAAATCTATAGCTTCTATTCTAAAACTCTCAATTCATTCAAATCTCATATTTCAGACTATTAAACATGACCGTTTGGTAGTAGCAGCCATTGACTTTGGTACCTATGGATCAGGATTTGCCTTGTGCACTAGATCCGATTACAAAAAAGATCGCAATAAGATTTTTGTACATACTTGGAACAGTGGAACAGCTATTACTAGCAAGGCGCCTACAACAGTACTGATCAAACCGAATGGGAAAGACTACGTCAGCTTTGGTTACGAGGCAGAGAGAGATTTTGTGGACATGGATCCTTCAGAACAAAAGAAACACTACCTATTCAGGCAGTTCAAAATGAAGCTCTTTAATAATGCTGTGAGTATCAGTGTATAGCGAATTACAGGAACCAACAATTTTACTTCATTATAAATGGAATTGGTTAATTTTATTCTGTTTGCAACAGTTTTAAATTCTCAGGGAATGAAAATCACATTGCTGTAAGTGAAAATTCATTACAAGAGTCTTTGTTTTACTTGTAACATATGTAGGCAAAAGTTTTACTTTTAGCAATGTTTTACTATATTTTACCCATTAGAATCTCACATGTATAATCTCAAAACAAATTATAGATATTTAATTACACTGTACTTTGAATTTCTTTCTTTGGCTAGGAACTCAATGAATCTACAAAACTCAAGGATATCACAGACAAGGAACTGCCTGCTGTTGACGTCTTTGCTGCAGTGATGCGGTTTTTCCGTGAGAGCTTACAGAAACGACTGTCTACAAAGTCTACGGAAGACTTCACATATGATGATGTGTACTGGGTAGTCACTGTGCCCGCCATCTGGGACCTCAGAGCCAAGCAGTTCATGAGGAGGGCTGCTGAAAAGGTAAATGAGATAAATCACAATACTGTAGAAAAATCACAATACTGTAGAAGTACCTTTTTCCGCGTGGTATTAATTTACGCTTTGTACGAAGTCACACATTTTCCGAGGAAATTTGTTCAAGTGTACTTAATATAAATGTAAGGCATACGAGGGGTGATCAAAAAGTTCGCGAACTAATTGAATAACTTCCATAAAAGAAATAATATTTGGTTTCAGTGTTGATTATATCTTAAATTAGTCCTCTCCGGTTTTAATGCACATCTACCACAGTTCTGCTCATGCGCGAATCACGTGATGTAGGCAGTCACGTGATCCCCCTCCGTAGCGTTCTGTCACAAAAGCTGAAAGATTTTCTGAGTTTTATATTACTTTCCATGTAAGTTAATTTTATAACAAGAACTGTTCATTTGTCAGAAATGGTCAAATATCGGCAACAGAATGGGTGGGTAAGAATATCCTTTCCAAAAATAAGCATGGCGACCATCAAAACCCAAATCTTCTCTCTCTGGAGAGACGTTTATTCAAGTTGGATAGAGAATGGGTGGCTCCTTTTTATCATGATTAATATGTTTAAAATCTAAAGTTTACTATATCTTAGGTATTTAAAAATTATATTATTCTTAAAATATTCAACTACTTTTCAGTGTGTAAATTAGACGTCTTTGATAGCAAATTGCTTAATTAAAAACATATCTCATTTTAAACTTGCTTTCATTAGGCAACATACCAAGTGCCATTTTTAACCATTTGCCTTTCTTCACTAAAATGATTAATCCAGTTTATATTTCTTAAATTTATAGAGAGCCATTTGTCTTAATAAACTGTGTACAAATTATTATACACCACTTCAAATGGATTTCTAAGATATACCGATTAAATTTACACTCGTTTGTTGAACGAAGACGACTGAGACAATCATTTTTCGTCACGAGTGACCTAAATAGTGACGTCATTTTCACATTGTGACGTCACAAACAAGAAGCAAAACTTTATCCAGCATATGCTATTTATAGAACTTTTGTATGGCTATTTGTGTACCAATTTTTTTTCTAATCTGAATTGTGGTTTTGAAGATATAGAGATATTTCGCGAACTTTTTGATCACCCCTCGTAAAGTGACAATCTAGAAAATCCGCATAATTTTCTACCCGCGGATTAAACAGAAATTGAGATTCTGCGGAATTATGACCCCGTGGAAAAAAGTACTTCTATAGTATAACTGTGAAGTGGGAAAACAAACGTCTTGTACAATTGACTTCACAATTATCAAATACAGGTATATTTTTTTTTATTATTGATAAAGACTATGGCAAATATAAAGTAAAAATGACATTAATTTAAATTTTGAATCTGTATGCCTGATTTTACATAAAACTTGTGAACTAATTGTACAACATGTTCACTTTATGGTTTTATTGCTTTTAATACAGTAAAATTTTATTTTACATTTGAATCTTAATTGATACATGTTCTGTAGATCACTATATTTTTGCAAAATCTTATTTTCATGAGATAGTCATTAATTCTTTGTTAGCAAAACAAAATTTTCACGAGTTGTGAATATTCCTCTAAATAATCACAAAAAATGTTATTATTCGCGAGAATGAAATTTTAAAATAAAGTTCTCACAAATTTATAAAAAGTGATTTATAATAGTAGTTAATATTTTAAATGTTTGTTTAAGACTTGAAATTTATATTTAGGCTGGACTGAAAGACTCGCAGTTGTCCTTGGCCCTAGAACCAGAAGCTGCATCTATGTACTGTCGTAAAGTCCCGGTAGAAATAAGTACGCAGAGAGATGGAGCCAAGCAGATAGCCTCACTGCCCGCAGGGTCCAAGTATCTGGTGCTGGATTTGGGAGGTTTGTCCTTAGATTAAAATACTGTAATGAAAATTTATTGGACTGTATCACTTATATGTATTTGTGAAACAAGTATTAGAAAAGGCTTACTAATATTCACCTACCAATATTTTTTAACAGTAAAGTTTCCCATTGACAAATATATGGGTTTAAAAACTAAATGTACTTTTAGATTTGGAAGTTAAAATATACAAACAACCTAAATGAAGTAAAAGGAACAAAGAATTTTGGTTCATTTAAACATAAAATCATTATATCTGATAAGTTTATAATATTTTTTTTATGGTGTAGGAATGGAAATCATTGTTCTGTAAGCATGACAAGTGTGTGCACTGTGCACTGTGAAAATAAAATTAATAATGTTGCCAAATATGTTATTTATTACCAGTTTCGAGAAAAAAAGTTTATGAATTCAAAATTTCAATGATCATAATTGATTCTTAAAGCATAAAACCTTGGTATAATTATATATCTTCTGCACTTAAAACAGGAAACTAAATCTTCACATTTTTCTATCCTTGACAGGGGGTACCATAGACATAACTGCCCATGAAGTGACTTCTGATGGGGGACTGAAAGAGCTACACCAGGCCAGTGGGGGGTACTATGGGGGAACCTGTGTCAATGACGAAATCATGAAATTCTTCAAACGACTGTTTGGTGGACCTGTTTTAATGAAGCTCAAAGAAGAATATCCTGGAGACTACCTCGATCTTATGAATGATATTGAGATGAAGAAGTGTACATATAGTCCCAAAATGAACAAGGAGAAAATCACACTTCGACTTCCTGTCACATTGTTAAATGCATACAGGGAAGACACCGAATGTGAAATTGAGGAATCGCTGGAGCATACAACATTTGCAGATGATGTGCATGTAAAACGAGACAAGATGACAATTTCCAAAAAACTTTTCCATACCTTCTTTACTAACTCTGTAGACAATGTGGTTAGAATTATCAAGGAAATCCTCGATACCCCTGGAATGTCTGATGTCAGCACTTTGTTGGCAGTGGGTGGATATGCGGAGTCTCCATTAATGACAGAAACTCTAAAAACTGTGTTTGCTCACAAAAAAGTAGTGATACCCACCGACCCAAGCCTAGCTGTGTTAAAGGGAGCAGTGATCTATGGCTATGAGCCCGAGATCATAGCCTCCAGGGTGTGTAGGTACACCTACGGAATCGCCAAACAAGGGATTTGGCAGGAGGGAGATCCAGAAAGCAAGAAACTGCCACAGACAACCAGAAAAGGACTCCACTGGTGTGACGATGTCTTTGACAAACATGTAGAAGTGGGACAGGTTGTTAAAGTCGGGGAGTTTCAGGAACCCAAAGAATATTTTGCTGTGGAAGGCCAGGAGATGGCTCTGTTAGATTTCTATGCTTCCACGCAGAAAAATCCCAGGTTTGTTGATGAGCAGGGCTGCACCTGTGTTGGGTCTTTTGTTTTAGACCTGTCAGAAAGGAATTCCAGGGGAAATGTCTTAGTCCGGATTGGAGTGGGTGGGACAGAATTAGAGGTAGAGGCCAAGGAAGAAAAAACAGGTCGTGTTTTTAAATCGTACTGTAACTTCCTGCCCTAGTCAATATCTCACAGTGAATTTTTCTTTGATTCTCCAGAATTAAATGGCAATCAAGAATACAGTGTATCTGTTGGATAAAAACCTTGTAATCTTATTTGAGTGTTTGTGTGTACATGTGTACATGTTATGAAAGGTTATTAATGAAAAATATTTTTTAATGATTTACCGGTAAAATTTTTTTGACAAGTTTTGTAGGTTTGGTGCAAATATCTGATGCCAGTGATGTAGAATTTGTTTGTTTAATATATTTTTAAAAAATTTGTATATTTTGCTTCTACAAAGGATGTACTATGTATATTCAACCACAGTTCTAAGGTTGAACTGAATAGACTGTATAGATGATAAATTCATGTTGATTATTATTGACATATCAAGATCAGATAAATTAATACACTGTATATTTGTTTGTCAGAAAAAAATGTATTTTTATACAGTGCACTTTGAAGATGTTATGTTTAGAACTATAGGTAGTTGTAATGTACATTTTGCTTTATTCGATGTTAAAATTTATCTGCAGAATAGACACAATTGAAAATTTGAAAATACATATGTGAAATGATTTCATAATGTCATTAATTTTTTTACCTCACCTTAGCTGAAAGCTCAAATGAGCTTTTATGATCACATTTTGTCTGGTATCCATCTGTCTGTAAACTTTTAATATTATGAACTTCTTCTCAAGAGCCGTTTGGCCAATTTCAACTGAAAGCATTCCTACTTGAAGGATATACAAAAAATGTTCAAATAAAGGGTAATGCCTTCTGTCCAGGGGGGATAATTAAGAATTAGTTAAAATTTGGTATTAACATTTGAAATCTTCTGAAGAACCATTTGGCCAGAATTGTTGAAACTTTTATTAAATACTGTAGGTTCAAGTTTGTTCAATTCATAATCCCAAGTGGTATGATGGTGTCATTATGGTTAATCAAATGTTTATATAAAATGTACCTCTAGTTAAAAAAATATGTAGTTTATTCTATCTTTGTTCAGATTTGTTCAATTTGAAATCATATCTAATATGATTTTAATTTTTACATTTACAGGTTGATATTTGTTTTGACTAGTTTTATTTTAAGAGATTGATCTTTCTCCCTGTATTTAGATAGTACATCATCAATATTTACAATTTGAAAATGGAGCTGATCGATTAGTCAATTGTGTGCCAAATAATAGCCTTTATATAAGGTCTATTATATAATGATTTCTGATAAAACATTAGTAAGACCTTTTCTGCTGTTAATGAATATTTGATGTATATATGTAATTATGTATGTATGGCACTTTTGGAGAAAAAATTAAATATATTGCAGTTAATGGATGTGAACCATTTTTTTTTAAATTTGCAAAGAATGTTATATGCTTTGAAACTTTGATGTATTACTTAATTTCTTTGTGATATATATCTCAGTAAATTATGAAACACTTCAGGGAATGGTTTTTATAAATGATAAACATATAAATCCAGCAGATTGACAAAGAACAGACTCTTTGTCCTTGAGAAAAGACGTGGTCATCTTAAGCATAAAAGTTAAAGTAAAGCATTATAATTTAAAGGGGTTTTAACATTTTTGGACCTCCTCTCTGGATTTAATATTATTTTGCAGTCAGAATATCCCCCCCCCCCATTTGCCCTCTCTCACCCACGCCAAAAATATTAATATTTTGACTCCCTCCCCCCATTTCTGTCTTTATTATTTTTACCGCTGATAAAAAAAATTGCTTAAAATTTATTTTTTCTTGTACTTGTAACTATTGCAACCCTGCTTGCTGAATGGAAAACAAAATATTGTACATTTACATGTATATAATTAAATTATCTTAGCATGCTTAGAGTAGTTTGTTTGAAGCTAGTGTTTGTGTACTGATCATACTAATTAAGTTTTATTCCAGTCGGACTAAATATGTAGGATAGGTCAAAGATTTCAATTATTTTCACTAGGAGGCGAGGAAATAAACTTTTAAAAATATATTCCAAAGAGGGAATCAAAAAGCTGGAAAAAATGTTTAGATGGAAAACAAGAGGCCCATGGGCCTTATAGGTCATCTGAGTATCGGGTAACAACTTTCAAACAATTAAAATTGGTTCATGTTTTACCCCAGAGGCCATGAAATTCACAATTCACAATTTTGAAAGAGGCACCAGTGCTCATCATAATTATAAACCTAGCATGCTTACTCTATTTACTTAATACCCAGAGGTAGATCAGAGTAACAAAGAGAAAATGCACTTCCGCTTTATAACCAGTTGTGCACCTCACCCCAAAGGAACCATTGACCGTAGGGCCACATATTTCAAAATTTTGCAAATTTTATCATAAAATGTTTGATTATTACTAAAGAGCAGATTTCAAAGCATTAATTTCTTTTCAGACTATGTACCCCCCTCCCCCTGACCCAGGGGGGTGGGGGATAAAAAATAACCATTTTGCTAGATGCACCTGTCTTCGTCAGAAATATATATACTTGGATCATTGGCATAAAACCCAGGAGCAAAGGAAAAGATTTTCAAAGAATTAATGCATTTTCACTATATAATCAATAGAGCCCCACCCTAATACCAGAACTCTTGACCCTGGGGCCATAAAATTCACAATTTTGAAAGTGGCACTCTTGCTCATCATAGCTATGTACTTAGTTTATTTAATACCCAGAAGCAGAGAAGAAGATTTTCAGAGAATAATGCATTTTCACAATATAATCAAAAGAGCCCCACCCTAACACCAGAACCCCTGACCCTGGGGCCATAAAATTTACAATTCTGGAAGAGGCACTCTTGCTCATCATAACTATGTGCTTAGTTAGCTTATTTAATACCCAGAAGCAGAGAAGAAGATTTTCAATAGAGCCCCACCCTAACAACAGAACCCCTGATCCTATGGCCATAAAAGTCACAATTTTGGAAGAAGTACGCTTTCTCATCATAACTATGTACTTAGTAAGTTTATTTAATACCCAGGAGCAGAGAAGAAGATTTTCAAAGAAATAATGCACTTTTACTATATAATCTATATAGCCCAGCCCTAGCACAAGAACCCCTGACCCTGGGGCCATGAATTTCACAATTTTGGTAGAGGAGTCAATGCTCATTACATTCATGCCAACAGTTTGACTGCTTGATGTCCAAGAGTAAAGAAGAAGATTTTTAAAGATTGCAGTAATTTTGTTGGTTTTTGCCCCACCCCTCGGGCCCCAGGGGGACGGGAACCATAAAATTCACAATGTTTGTTCCCCTTTACCTATAGATGTTGTATACCAAATTTGGTTGAAATTGGTTCAGTGGTTTAAGAGAAAAAGCTGAAAATGTTCAAATGTTAACACACGACGGACGACAGACGCCGATGGACGAAAACGGATTGCAATAGGTCACCTGAGTTACTCAGGTGACCTAAAAACCAAGGGGGCAACCTAATGATCTTTCAGCTTTCCTTCTTAATTAAAGTCAATAGGGGTAGTTGGGTTCAAGAAATTTTTCACCTTAAGTTTCATCACTAAAGACTACAGATCGAATGAAATACATGTACATGTAATTATAATGATAAAGAACTGTACAGTAATCAAGCTCATATATCCATTGAACCAATACAAAGTGGGAGCAGAACAAATGCAGACCTGTAAAAAAAAACAAAAAAAACAAGTGGCCCACGGGCCTTATAGGTCACCTGAGAATCGTAACAATTTAACTTTCCAACAATTGAATTTGGTTCGTGTTTTAAACCATAGGCCATGAAATTCACAATTTTGAAAGAGGCACCATTGCTTATCATAATCATACACTAAGCATGCTTAATACCCAGAGGTAGATCAGAGTAACAGAGAAAATGCACTTCCACTTTATAACCAGTTGTGCACCCAACCCCAAAGGAAACAAAGATCCCGGAGCCACATATTTCAAAATTTTGGAAATTTTATCATAAATTTTATTTCATCATAAATAGTTGATTAATTCAAAAGAGCAGATTTCAAAGCCATTAATTAATATTCAAACTATGTACACTCCCTCTCCCCCCCCCCCCCTCTCCCCTGGCCCAGGAGGCATGAAATTAACCATTTTGCTAGACACACCTTTCTTCGTCATAAATAAATAAACCTAGATCATTGGCATAATACCCAGGGGCAACGGAAAATATTTTCAAATAGTTAATGTATATTCACTATATAATCAAAAGACCCCCCCTTTACACAAAATGGCAAAACCCCTGACCCTGGGGCCATGAAATTCATAAATTTGGTTGAGGCACTTTTGTTCATTATAACTATATACTAAGTTAGTTGATTTAATTCCCAGGAGCAGAGGAGAAGATTTTCAAAGATTTAATGCATTTTCACTATATAATCTATATAGCCCCACCCTAACACCAGAACCCCCAGCCCTGGGGCCATAAAATTCACAATTTTGGAAGAGGCATTCTTGCTCAAAATAACTATGTACTTACTAGTAGTTTATTTCATACCCAGGAGCAGAGAAGAAGATTTTCAAAGAAATAATGCACTTTCACTTTTTAATCTATATAGCCCCACCCTAACACCAGAACCCCCAGAACCTGGGGTAATAAAATTCACAATTTTGGGAGAGGCGCTTTTGCTCATCATAACTATGTACTTAGTTTATTTAATTTAATACCCAGGAACAGATAAGAAGATTTTCAAAGAAATAATGCATTTTCACTATATAATCTATATAACCCCGCCCTAGCACTAGAACCCCTGACCCTGGGGCCACGAATTTCTTAATTTTGGTAGAGGGCGCAATGCTTATTACATTTATGCCAACAGTTTTGCTGCCTGATGTCCAGGAGTAAAGAAGAAGATTTTTAAAGATTTCATTAATTTTAGTGGTTTTGACCCCACCCCTCAGGCCCCCGGGGGGCATAACATTCGCAATTTTTGTTTCCCTTCACCCATAGATGCTGTATACCAAATTTGGTTGAAATTGGTTCAGTGGTTTCAGAGAAGAAGCTGAAAATGTTCAAATGTTAACACACGACGGACGACGACAGACTAAAACGGATAGCAATAGGTCACCTGAGTGACTCGGGTGACCTAAAAACATCAGAGGTGGGACATACGTACCAGTTGTCATGGAGGAATGGGCATCCCCTGTTGACATGTCACACCTACTGGAAAATAATGGCCTATCAAAGTTTTTTTTAATATGATGTATTGCAAAAACTATAAATTTCTGACCTTGACCTTTTGACCTCTAAATCAATTTGGAATCTTTTTTAACATAAAATTGACTGATGCATTGCAAAATGTTTTTTTAAACAAACAAACGAACAAGCAAGAAGGTATAAATGACAATGGAAAGTATATATGCATGATGTGAATTTTTCACCGGGATAGGTAAATATGTAAGTAAATAGGAAAAATATACTATATCCCAAGATGTTTACATCATTTCCTAGTTAGACAACTTGAGGACCTTTTGACATAAAGAATGAAAAGGGTCATTTTGAGTTATGATATAAGTTTTCATAAAATTATTATCTGGTATCTTGTTGGTTTTTTTTTGGGGGGGGGGGGGGTTAGAATGAATCTTCATAACTCTGCTTTCTCGCCCCTTTTTAAATGCAGAATTTTACCTTTTCAAATCATAACATTGTCATATTATAGCTAAATCTTCAATTATAGTCTGTATGGACACTCATAAAAGATTTTTTGGGAAAGAGACTTTCAATATATACATGATATTGATTAAATAAAATCGTATATACATGCACTTCACTATAGAAGCCTGGCTTAGTCATCACAGCTATGTAGGTCATTGTATTACTAGTAATTGGATGAGAAGGCAGGGCGTCTATCAAGCGTGCGATTAGTGTGAATACATTAGTGTATGCTCGTGTTCGAGATGCACTGCCACTGGGGTTTACGAATAACTGACCCGTAAAACACTCTTATTTCGAGCTAAAGACCGACAAAATATATGCATAGATTCTTAATTAAATTATATGGCAGGTTTTTTTTCTACTAAACTTACGAGTTTTATTTGAAATTACTTACTAAAAATTCGTTATACACAATAGAATCTGTAAACAGAGCATGTAACACATTAGCTGCAGATCTGTAGCATTATGGTTTTATATATTTTTCTTTGACATATGGTCAAAGACAAATATATACATCTGTAAAACCATAACGCTACAGATCTGCAGCTAGTAACAGGGGCGTAGTATCCGGGGGGGCCAGGGGGGGCCTGGCCCCCCCACTTTTTTTCCCAACCTTCCTTACACTATAGAAAATGTTAATTGAAAGCCTGGTTGGCCCCTCCACTTTTAGAAATGTACCGAAAATGTAGTATAAGAAATGGTACTAAAAGTAGTTGACACTGAGAAAAAAGTTTACCTTACCCCCCCCCCCCCCCCCCCCCACGAAATAGGATTTTCGACTTTGGGCAACTTTTACCTTTTTTTTTTTTTTTTTTTTTTTTTGCTTGTCAACTTTTTTCAGGTAAGTAAAAAAAAATTTTCTCTGCCTGGCCCCCCCACTTTCAAAAACGATGCTACGCCACTGAGTAACACATTGATTTCAAAACCAGTTGTGTGCTTTTTTATGCCAAATCAATCTGTGATATAAAATTTCAGAGAGAAAAAAAATGAAGAAGATTTTTAAAAATCATTTGATAACCATTATTTGCAATATATCAATTTCTGACCCTGACCTTTGACATTTTGACTTCAGTATGAGGCTTTTTGGGTCATGAATATGTTTAAAATTTTATTTAAAGAACCTCAAAGGAAACTACAGTTATCATCTTGAAACTGCTATTAGAATGTCAGAATGTATTGATTTAATTAATTAACCTCGTATGAAAGAAAAAGAAGTAGTAATCTTAAGCATTCACATGATGTGAATGGTTAAGATTACTACTTCTTTTTCTTTCATACGAGGTTAATTAATTAATCACATCATATCAATAATCATATCAATATTTTTTTTTGGGGGGGGGGGGAGTTCAATCATCTTGAAGTAAAAAAAAAAAAATAGACAGATGAACAGACTAACTGACTATCAATTATTATTTCTGAAATTCAGTTATTCCAATCTATTTAATTAGGAACCTTTCGGAAATACTACAAAAGGAACTTTGCTCCAATGGCTTTCCGTACTTTACAGAGAAGAACGATAACTCCGTTAACTCCGCTCAAAGTTATTATCGCCATGATTGCAACTTGAAAACGAAAGTAGGAGTAGGAAATTGGTTTTGGTATGATGTTTTAAACGTTATATGTTGTGAAATATTAGGCGTAACGAATTATCTTATTTTTAAAAAAGGATATTATAAGATAATGAATTATTTCCGCCACACTTTTTATATGGTTGACTTTTTAATAAACAATATTCATCTGTTCATGATGACCCCTTTTGAAGTTTGGAAAGTTTAATGTCAATAAGTATCTCATTACAGGCGTCTTATTGTGTAGAAGTAAACTAGCGTACTGTATGAAACAAGCGCTTCTGACATTCATTCATCATCGATAAACAGGGTGAAGAAATGTAAACAAACTACTAAAGTACATTGTACGTATTATTTACTATTATATAATTATAAAACTAAAGGTAAAAAAAATTATATCAAGTCCCTGTGTCAGGTGCTCTTCCTGTCCAGGCTGATACCCTCAGGTCAACCATAATTAAACAAATTATATACATTTATTGACTGTGTTTGTTGGCAAAATGCATTTGTTTACAATTAAGAACATGTCAAATTTATTATATTATTTTTTTCTTGGTTTGCAGACTGTCGTAGATGGGATAATCAACAGTCATGGCTGAGGGAGGAGGTGATATCAGAGGTAACATATGATCTTTTTTATTCTTTATTGCTGAGATCTGTTTTTAAGCAGTCTAGACGAACTCCAAAAACGGCGTGAACTCCAAAAAAGAAGTCTTTGGCTCCGTCATGCATTGCGGCAAAATGGCTTCCGATGTAAACAAACGATGGATTGTCGTTCGCTTTCTCCACAAATACGACTGAATAATGGCTGTATTTAGTAAACTGTGACTGGATTTTAATTTTTGTTGAATAAATAATTGTACCCATTAAATTATTTAGTGGTTATTGACTTACTATTAGTATTTATCGCTCTGTATTCTTGCATAATAGTGATTTGGGATATACGTACGACACCGGGATTCAATAAAGTCGGTAAGAATTAATTTTCTTACTTAATTTATTGTCCCCTTGATTTAAATTTTATGCCATTCCTACTATAAAGATGCTTAAATTTTACTTCTAAGACACTTATATCGTATTTTTTTTTTTTATGAAAAACTGCACAATTTTGGCGGCGGAGCAGAGATATTAACAGGTTCGATTTGAGAAGACTTTTTTACCGTAATTTTAAAAGAATGATTTTTTTCAAGTTCTTAAACTCATAGATTATAATTCTAAAAATGTTTCATGATTAAATCTATTCATATGTGAAAATATTAGGTATATAGCGATGGTGATAACTAACGCTCTCAATATTCAGATGTCATACAGGATTATATGACGAAATAATATTACAAATCATAGGTAAAAATTCGGTCAATGTTTAACAGTTACAACGTATATATTACATTGTTCAATTTTACATATTTTTCCCTTTTATTATATATTTAATTCCCAAACTTTTATTTTTCTTTGTATTTGATCTAATTTGAAACGTGAACTTTCTTCAAAAAAGCCTCGGAGGAAATGTGGAAACTGAATGGATTCTCATGTAACTGTCACCTGATCGACTCTTATTTATGATTAAAACCATCAATTCAGTACTTTTTTAATTATTGGTAAGATGTATTTACAATGCAGTTGCTCATTGCTGATCTAAACATGCTGAAATTCATTCGTACACGATAGACATGAAAGACAGAGGAAATTCGAACTGAAAATTCGCGAGCGTTCCTTACTTACAAAAAACTTCTAAAATCAGTAAAAGTAGTTCTAAAATGACTAACTTAGTCATACAAACAAATTATCAACCACAGAGATGTTTTCATAAGATTAAGACTGTTTAATTTGTATTTTGTATCCTACTTGTACGATGTCTGGCTGAACCTCGATGTTGGTCAACTTTGACTTGAAATTAAAAACTATTTGCACATGAAATCAAAATTCTAACAAATACGTTCTCTAAAACCATTTATTATTAATCATTTCTGAGAACTTACATTATTGTAAGGTAATCCAATTTTTTGCAAAAACACTTTTTATAAGAGCCCACTTTTCACGATTTTTCACCGTTTTTTATATAACTGCGCATGCGTTGGACTCGTTTTATGGAGTCTTTTCTGGACTGAAATTCTCACTTCCGTTAACGCCGTTTTTGGAGTTCGTCTAGACTGTTAAGAATTGTTAGCTGCATGTCTTAATGCTCATTGAGTTATGGAAGATATGCCAGAGTGGGACACAACAAGATTACATGTATCAGTCAGGGGCATAACTCAAACAAGTTATTTTCAAAAATAACTCAAATGAGTTATTTTACATTATTTCACACACACAAATTTTTTTTTGAAAAATAACTTAAATAAGTTATTTTTATATCCTACTTGGACATTGATTTCATGGAAATTTCGTGTTTCCTGCCAATTTGCATTGCATTTTGGGATTCCGTTATGTAATACTAGATGGAGTTCACCGACTCCAATGGAGAATTGGTGAGGAGGTGGAGATAAACAGCATTTACACCTTATTCTATTTCGTAAATATCAATTACGAGACCACGTGAGATTGTACTGCGCATGTGCGGATTCAGTGTTCTGTAATTTGTGCTGGAAGACGGACGTAATAATATTTTTCTCTTGTCAACGTTGTTGACGATATTTGATTTCTTTGAGTACTGTCAAACGAGGTTTGATAGACTATTACTACTTTTTGGGACGCGGTTCCTGAATACTTGTAAAGCAGACTTTTTGCTTTTTTCCGTTTTTTCCGGTTGCACGTGTGTTGATTGCACGTGGTTTCGACTATGGCGAACGCCATGTTGTCTCCTGAGAAAAACGCTGTTTTTCCTGCAGAAAAACCTGATGACAAAACGAGTAACACCAGGAAAAGAAAAGTCGAGACGACCGCTAGTAAGAAACCTAGCAAATCCGCAAAAGCAGACTCGGTGTCGAGTCAGCATCCAGTGGCTTCGTCAGCGAAGGACAGAGGCTCCGATGTTCGCAGACCTAATGTATCGCCAGGCCCGAGTGGCTCGGACCCATCTATCTCGGACGTGCTAAACGTTCTGAAGTCGATCCAGGAAAGTCAATGTAAGTCGGATCAGAACTTTAATAATTTAAGTCATCGTGTGGATGAACTTTTTAGAATGGCGGAGGAGTACGACGATGGTGGCGATTATGGCCCTATTCCTGACAGTGACGCGGTCGCTGTTAATGACGATACTGCCGCCGATCATGATACAAGTCAAACTGCTGATACTAGTACTGTTAATAAAGACACTGCGACATCGTCTGGTGCTGACAATAAATTTAAATCGGCAGGTGAAAAACTCAAAATCAAGGAGGTATGTGATACTTCTGTTAACTCAGAGTTAGCTTCGTGTGTTAATGACTGGTTTAGACAAGGGATAGAAGATGATAGATATACTGAACTTACCAAAGACTCGGTGAATGCTAGACCTGATAATTGTGAAAGTTTAGTTACAGTAAAAACAAATCAGTTAGTATGGGGATTCCTACAACCCAATACTCGTACAGTTGACAAGAAACTGCAAAATGTTGAGACTTCTGTGGTCAAAGCAGCTACCATCATGGTAAAAGTTTGTGACAAAATTGGTAAGCTTGACGATCCATGTGTTTTTGACTTGATAGATAGAAGCATGGAAGCTTTAGCATTGCTGGGTCAGTCGAATTATCAAATCAACATGCTTCGCAGAGAACTCATGAAAACAAATATGAAAGGGGAGTATTCCCATTTGTGTTCGCATAATGTGAAATATACATCTTATCTTTTTGGGGACGATGTCCCTAAAACTGTGAAGGAAATAGGTGACTGTAGTCGCATCAGTAACAAATTGAGCAGTTTTCCTACGCAGCAAAGGTCTGACAGAGGTTTCCCTAACAGAAATAGATTTGGAAACTTTCGTGGACGAAGGTCCATTTTTCAAAATCGGTCCACACAGGGACAGACCAGAGGTTACTCAGGATACAGTGACCCAAAAAACTTCAAAGGGCGTCGAGGGAGCTCTCGACCCAATAGTCCGAAAAATCTGACGTTTTCTGGCTTTTTTACGATTTTGATATTTTACATGCCAGGAAAACATTACGGGAATTTCACCGTCTCCAACCGAAGTTGATTTTCTACTCAGGAAATACAATTTATCAATGGCACAATACTACTAGACTCACCAATAAAACCACTCCACATTCCGAACGATTTTAAAATGCACGAAATGAAAACAAATCTCGACAGTCAGATAAAATGTGTTCATCGGATTATATTATTTCTTAAACGAAACAAAAAAACGATGTTGGTGAGTACTAAAGGTTTTGTACTATTGATAATATGTGAATTCAGCATTTAATTCGGTTTAAAGTATCAAAATCAGCAAATGGCGCCGGACTTTTCCTGGCATGTAAAATATCAAAATCGTAAAAAAAGCCAGAAAAACGTCAAACATTCTTTCCAGAAAACATTCTCTCCAAAAATTTTGTAGCTGGAAGGTTGAAACAATTTATTTCCGAATGGGAAAAACTCACTTCTGATAGAAGCATTCTTGATATTGTCCAACATTGTCATTTAGAGTTTGAAAATGACTCTATACCAGTTCAGACTTCTGTTCCTCATCAAATAAAATTCAACGAGAAAGAATGTTCATATATTAAGAAAGAGATTAACAAACTTTTGGAAATGGAAGTTATTAAAGAAATTAATTCAAACGATGTTGGATTTGTGTCAACTATTTTTCTAAGACCAAAACGCAATGGGGAATTTAGAATGATTTTGAATTTAAAAGAGTTGAATCAGTTCATTAAGTACCATCATTTTAAGATGGACACATTTGAAAGTGCTCTTAAGGTCATAACCCCTAATTGCTTTATGGCATCAGTGGATCTGAAGAATGCTTATTATTCCATACCTGTAGCAATCGAACACCAAAATTTTCTGCAGTTTTCCTGGGAAAATAAATTGTTTCAATTCACTTCCTTACCTCAAGGTTTATCTAGTGCTCCTAGATTGTTTACAAAACTTATGAAGCCAGTATATGCTACATTACGAAGATTAGGTCATGTTAATGTGGGATACATAGATGACTCTCTTTTGGTAGGAGACACTGTACAGGAATGTAGCAAGGGTGCAATTTCAATGGTCACATTGGTTGAAAAACTGGGATTTTTTGTGAATTATGAAAAATCAGTTATAAAACCAACACAAAAAATCGCTTTTCTTGGCAATGTTATCGATTCAGTTAACATGATTGTTACATTAACAGATGAGAGAAAAGAAAATATTTTTAATGAATGCAAAAAATTACACCGCAAATCTGAGGCATCAATCAGAAACGTAGCATCTGTTATTGGTTTGATGGTCTCCAGTTTTTCAGCCATTGAATTTGGGCCCCTGCATTATAGATCCCTTGAAAAGGGAAAAATTGAGGCACTGAAATGTTCATATGGAAATTTTGATTCTACAATGTGTATTAGTGACGAAATGAAGGACAATTTGTTATGGTGGATAGACAACAATGTCCATAAAGCTTGTAGACATATACGTCATGGGTCTGTAGATTTTGAGGTTTATTCTGATGCTTCATTACTTGGTTGGGGTGCCACTTTCAATAATCAAGAGATAGGTGGTCACTGGTCAGACACTGAACAGTCTTATCACATCAATGCCTTAGAACTTCTTGCATGTTTTTATGCACTGAAATCTTTTTGCAAAGATCAACATCATAAGTCAATCAAAGTTATGTTGGATAATGTCACTGCTGTTAGTTACATAAATAATATGGGAGGTATTCACTCCAATCTATGCAATGAAATAGCTTGTAAGATCTGGGCTTGGTGCATTGATAAGGACATCCGGCTACTGGCCGCTCACATACCTGGAATCTGGAGTAGATAATGTTGTTGCAGATAGAAAATCTAGAAAGTTTGAGGATCAGACTGGATGGAAACTGAATACTAATGTGTTTAATGATATCACTAATTTATTTGGAATGCCTAATATTGATTTGTTTGCAAATAGACTTAATGCTCAAGTCGATACTTATTGCTCCTGGAAGCCTGACCCCAGTGCAAGTTTTGTTGATGCATTTACTATTGATTGGAGCAAATATTATAGCTATATTTTTCCTCCTTTTAGCTTGATAGGGAGGTGTCTGCAGAAGATCATGGAAGACAGAGCAGAATGCATCATGGTGGTGCCAGTCTGGACAACTCAAGTGTGGTACAACAAAGTTCTGGAACTGTTGATAGAACACCCACGAATTTTGCCTCAGCAGGAGGATCTACTGTATCTTGTACATTCCAAAGAACGTCATCCTCTGAGGAAATCCCTAGTGATGATGGCATGTCGATTGTCGGGAGACATTTCAAAAACTCAGGCTTTTCGTCTGACGCTACCAATATCCTCATGGCATCTTGGAGAGGCAGTACAAAGAAACAGTACAAGACTTTCCATAAGAGATGGGTTTCTTTCTGTCGTGAAAGGAAAATTAATCAATTTCAAATTTCTTTGAATCATGTTATTGAATTTTTGACTATGTTGTACCATAATAACTTAGGTTATAGTGCTCTCAATACAGCCAGAGCATCATTGTCTGCATTAGGTTTTGTTATTGATGGACATGCTATTGGGTCTCACCCTGTTATTATTCGCTTTATGAAAGGGGTCTTTAATTTGAGACCTCCTGCACCTAAACATGATTATGTGTGGGATGTTACAATTGTTTTAAGTTTCCTCAGGAAATTGTCACCTGTGAAATATTTAAGTTTGAAAGATCTTACTTGCAAACTCTGTATGCTTATCTGTTTATCTTGTGCTGCTAGAATACAGACTGTACATGCCTTAAAACTGAGTTGTATGCAGAAGAAGAAATCTTCATTTGTATTTAACTTTGACACTTTGTTAAAGACTTGTAGACCAGGGTTTCGAAGGCCGAACATTGTTCTTAAAGCCTATCCAGCAGATAGGAGACTATGTGTTTATACTGTTCTTGTTGAATATTTGAAAAGAACTTTGCATTTGCGTAGTAATAATGATGATGCTTTATTCATTTCGTATGTAAAACCTCATAATGCTGCATCTAAAGACACTTTGTCACGTTGGATAAGATATGTAATGTTGCGTTCTGGCATTGATACAAGTGTGTTTTCTCCGCACAGTGTTCGTGCGGCAGCAGTTTCAAAGGCGTATTTTAACTCTGTGCCTGTTCATGAAATTCTGAATAAGGTTGGATGGACCAATGAAAGAACTTTTGCAAAGTTTTATAACAAACCAATTGTACCAGTTAATACAGTGAATTTTCTGAATGGTGTTATGACTGAATAAATTGTGGGTGTTCAAAATGGAAAAAATGTTTTGTTTCTTTAAAATCTCACGTGGTCTCGTAATTGATATTTACGAAATAGAATTAAAAAATTAAACGAGACTTACCTTGGTTAAGGTGAAGTTTGATTGAGATTCTATGAGGAAATAGAATCAATGAAGAGATCACGTGCCACCCACCCACCCTGCATATGCAAGGAATGTAATTTATAAATGTATGATTGGTAAAATTTCATTTACACAGATGTATGATGTATACATTTGTGTAAATGATGTAACAAAAAATTTTTTCGCTTTAAATCCTGAATCCGCACATGCGCAGTACAATCTCACGTGATCTCTTCATTGATTCTATTTCCTCATAGAATCTCAATCAGACTTCACCTTAACCAAGGTAAGTCTCGTTTAATTTTTTAATTTGGAGGAATGACACAAAATAACTTAAACAAGTTATTATTTTATTGAGGCTATTTTGGAAAAATAACGTGTTTGAGTTATTAAGGTTGGGAAAAAGTAGGTCATAGCAAAGAGAAGTAACTCCATGAGACAAAAAAATAACTCATTTGAGTTATTTTTGAAAATAACTTGTTTAAGTTATGCCCCTGACTGATGTATATTACTTACATATAGAGGAAAGAATCTGTAAGCATATTTAAAGAAGATAGTGTGGAAACATCCTCATATGATTCCATTTTCTGTATTAATACATATTCCCCCAACTCTCACCACCACCTGGGGTAAGTCACCCCCAAACCCACCCTCACACACATAAAAGAGCTATGAAAGCTTCTCATAAGAACATTCAATCAAAAAGAGAATGACGATGGACAAGTTCATAGAAGGATTTTAAATTATGCAATTGTCCTTTGATATCTAGAGCATTGCTTAGCTGTATTCTTGGACAAGTGTTTAAGATAGGAAAACATTTCAAGTGTTTGTTACATCAGTGGCATATATACAGGTTATCTTGTGTTGATTTTTTTTTTAGCAAGTTGATTTTTATTACAGATGACCCAAAGGATATAATAAGAAGGTCATATCTGTACATCAAAGAAAACCTTATCACTCATGGACTGCTGTTGGATGAACTAATTCAGTGTTCTGTACTAAGTGATGAAGAAAAAGTAGATTTTAAAGATTTTAACGAAAGGAAAATTGGCAAACTACTTAAACACATCATTAACAAAGGAGAAGAAGCATGCAGAAATTTTCTGGAAGTCTTAAAAAATCCAGACTATGGTATCTATCACAGGATAGAAGAAGTACAGAGAAGAGATTACAGTAAGTGTGTATAAAGTACACATGTATACTGACCCACAAAAGAAACACAACATGCAGTAAACTACAAATATTAACAATTTTTTTTGCCTAATGATTTTCAAAAATGAAATCAGTAAGGTAAAACTTGATTTCAAAACATGATGTGTTTGATGTATTTACCAGAATAAACTCAGCAATACTGTCAGGATTATTTTCATCTTTTTTCAGTGACGATTGAAAGTGAAGTGGTCATAAACAAAAGGCAGCTGATGAGTAAATATGAAACACTTCTTGTGGAACTTGAGGCATCCAGCATTTCTGATTTCCTGTTTCAAGAAAAGGTTTTTGACATAGACACCCATGATGAAATAGATTATGAATCAAAAAGAAGGAAAAAAGTGAAGAAAATTCTTAAAAATTTAGAGAATAAGTCTGAAGAGTGCTTGAAAGTTTTTGTCCATGGATTAGAAATTACAAAACAACAGCATATTTTAGACGTCCTTCAGAACCAAGCGCAAGAGACAGAAAAAGGTTTGTTTTCCTTCATTTAATTGTGAAAGAAAATATTTTAAAATGATTGTACATGTATCTGCATTATAAGGTTAAATATCTCACACAACTTGAAGGTTTAGAATAGAGGGAGAAGAGTTCTAGACACACTAACACATACCTCAAACATGGCCTTTGGATTAACAAAGTACAATGTATTTACATGTAATTCATATAAAAGTAACCATAACTGACATTGGGCTCCTCTCATTCCCCCAACCCCCACCCACAAAGCTCACTGTAAGAAGAGTCTTATTTCATAAATATATAATTATCCAAAAAACTTCATATATAACTCCAAGAGGTATTTTAAAATGCTAGTATCGATTGATATTTTAATATTACTTTTCAGAGACCTGTTTAGAGTGTGTTAGACTGAATTTCCGATGGATAAAACACAACCTTCATTTTGAGCTGACAGCTGAACACCTCTATGCACAACATGTCATTGATTTCATCCCAGCTCAAGAAACGACAAAAGAGAGGGGTAGGCTGGTCAAAAGTGCAGTGAAAAGAAAAGAACAGGGATGCTTCAGTCTTTTGAAACATTTGGAGGATACAGATGAGCATATATTTCATAAAGCACTCCAGATTTTGAAGGAGAGAAAGAAAAATGGTAATTATTATTTGTTCCCAACTGGAAGTATGTGAATGTATTTGTAAGCAAATAACATGCAGTCAAGTTGTAATGTTAATTTTTAGCTCCCCACATTGGGTTGGGGGGAGCTTATGTAACATCCTCTGTGTTGGGGTCCAAGGTTAAAGTTTGTGAGCAGATTTCTTTTCAAGTACCGGTACTTCTATGCCTTAAAAATACATTAATCAAAGATGCAAGGGAAAAAAGCTTCTAGTGTGTTTCATTGTACCATTTAAGGTGCTGCAATTACAGATAAAGAATAATCAGGTGAATTTTTATAACCAGGTTAAATTTTTTGGAGCAGGTATACATGTATAGTGATTAAGTAAAATCAAATATTATGTATGTATGTTACAGGCCCCTTATGATGCCCACTACCAGGCTGACCTATATATTTCATATGAGAGTCAATGTATTCCTTGTATTGGGTACCAACATTTTTGACAACAAGACCTTGACCTTGGAGATTGACCTATTTTTAAGAAAACTGCCACATGAGAACATCAGTTAAAATGTTGTCTAATCCAGAGTGTTGTCTAATCCAGTCAATTCATGAGGAACCAGCAGTGGCTGGATTAGACAAGTTTTATTGTATTTTCAGAATACCATTCCAGATGTGTAAACTGGCTTAATGCATGTACATTTATCATTTAGTTTTAATAATAAAAGTTGATTTTTCATTGAATAGGAAGAATCCCTATCAAGAGACGAATTCGTGAAGAGGAGATCAAACGTTACGAGAGTCAGTTAAAATCTGAACTCCAGCCCAGTGATTTAAGTGACATACTCTTAGAAGAAGGAGCTCTCTCTCCATATGAACATGATGAAGTGGAGAATAAGCCAAGTCGTAAGAAAAAAACTGAAAAGTTGCTCTCTCATGTTATCCAAAATCAGGAGGAACTGGACAGTTTGGCCTACGCACTTCAAGTTACGGGTGTTGACTTTGAGGAACTCATTAAAACAAATGAGGATGATGACATATCTTCAGGTTCTTAAGACATTTCTCATTATTTATTGCACAATCAAATCTGGTGATTGATATTGTAAACTAACTATTATTCACGTCAGTTTGAAATCAATCCATAAGGATTAATTTTTGCACAGAAGGAAATTTTCTTTACAAACACAAAGCAAAATAAGTGCTTTGGTATAATTTACATTCATGACTTAAAGTAGGTTACGAAACTCACGAATACTTCTCACACTCAAAAAAAGAGTTGGTTTACAGTAGATATTGAAAAAACTCTAATCCATTGAAAGAGCTTATTTTAGAATAATGGTATTGATGTATTGTATACTGGGAAAATTTTGCCCTTAGTTTATTTTTATACTCTTTGCAAGTGGGCAAATTTAAAATGAGGCAAATTCAGAGGGGACAGCATTATATATTAAATACTTTTTGTGTACTTTAAAGTTGGGCTTCATATTTTAGTGGCTTTGGCACAGACAACAATGCGCTAATTCATGAATACTGCTAAGAAATCTTTTACATATACAATACACTGAACGGACACGTGTAGCGCTAATTTATGATTATGCCAACAATTCCATACCCACTGACTAGGCTAAATTTTGAATTCGCCAAATTATGTACACGTACAGTATAACTTTGTCGTGGACTCATGGCAGGTTTAAAACTGCAGGTCTAAAATTAGGTGAGAAAGTAAGGCAAAAATAACATTAGGAAAATATAACTTATTATACAATATATGTATAAAATGTGCATGTTTTACAGGTGTTGAGAATCGAACCATCAGACTTGTGCCTGTTGGAAATCCTGAAATTGCAGGTAAAACCGTAATACCTTGTTTATGGTGATTTGAGACAATCCTTTGCATTCTAGTCTTAAAACACCTGATGTATTGCCACTTTCATTATATGTTTTTTCTTCCCAAAATATTTTGTAAAGAATCTTAAAGGATATATCTTTGTCAGTATTTAATTCATTTTATTCTTTGTGCAGGATTATCTCTTGAGCGATTTCATCTTGATGTTACAATACAAAATGAGCAAAATCCGGAATCTCCAGAACTTAATTTAGTTGTTACAGTTTTGAATGAAAACCCCAATGTTAAAATTCAAGTAACAGGCCAGACACATATGGCACTAAAAGGAGCATTTTCTGGGTCAATAATCCTTAGTCTACAACCGCTAACTGATGCTGCCATAAATGACTTTTTGGCTGAGGATGGAGCTCGGATAAAAACAGTGGTGGAGTCCTTGCTGTTGCGGATAGGACCAGAAAAACTTGATGGTCAAACCCTGAATGTGGAAGTCTCCAGAAAAGCATTAAGCCAGGGAGAAAAGGGTAAAGATTTAAATTTTGAAATCTGTGTAATCATTTTAATTTGTGGGTAAGTAGTTTCAAGATCACATGTATACTGTGAAATCACAAATTTTTGGGGGGTGTTGACTTTGTTTTTATTGAGTTTTTGAGGTATGGAGAGATTCAGGAATTGATGGTGACCAAATCTGAAAATTTCATGTTAAAACTACTCAGCACCTTTCTAATCACAAAATTAAATAATTTTTTTCCTCAAACCTAATTTGGTCTAATAAAAATTTGTGATTTTGCAGTATACAGATGATGCAGTGGACCTATATCGTAACAAATACATGTTCCGGAGTAATTGTTTGTGGGTAAGGCGACACAAATATTGAACCCCAGGGCATGATATGTTGATTTTACAGTACCGGTATATGCAGAGATGTTTTTCCAATTATTTTGAGTCAATGCTTTAGATATACAATATCATTAAAGTTCATGAAAAGTGGTTTGTGTTGGTGCCTTCTTGTACAGATGTTAAAAGTGGAGGAATCTATCTTTACAAATTTAAAATTACCAGTGCTGCCTGAATCAAATTGCTTCATATTTGCCCAGTAGATTCAGCTGGATGCAACATAGGAATTTGAGGAATTGTTAAAACACTTCCTGAATTTTTTTTTTTTTTTTTTTTTGAATAACCCTTTCATATTTTTTTTTGAATTTAAACATTCTCTATAAAGAGGGATAATCAAATCATCTCTCTCTCTGTATTTCTCTCTCTCTCTTTCAAATGCTTCAAAAAGTTTAGAAGAGTTTTTGTTATATTTTGGTATCTGTGTTAACATCTCAAGAGTTTTAGGAGCATGTCCATTCCTAAATAACTATGGCATAGCTAAACCAAACTTACATGAGTGATGCATCTAAGGGTGGACACTACCAGACTTTTTCAGATGCTGAATCTTGTCAACATGGTCTGAATATGTGACCAGGTTGAAGTTTTTGAAGTAGATCCATTTCCAAATACTGTAAACGTATTGCATTTGGCTGTGTATTCCTTTTAGCGCTTTTGGCGGTAAAGAACTTCCGCTAATTCAAGTACAGCGCTAAATGTCTTGCACATATATAAATAAATAAGAACATTGAGAAATGCGCTAAATCAAATCTAAGCTAACCCGTTCAAAAATCAATTTCCGCCAAATATGGTACACGCTAAATATACCCCGTAACATTTACTGTAACTGTTAAGTCCTACTTGAACCAAACTTGCATGGATATCGATACCAGGATGCACACTCCTCCCCCTCCCTCCTCCCCCCTCTCAAAAGAAAAAAATTGTGGGAGATTTTCTCTGTATAGAAAACATTAGTGAAAAACTACTTTCATTATTAACCTTGATTAATGATTATGTATGTTTTGATTTAGAAATTCGATCAAGAAAACCTGAAGATGTGTTGCGTCGAAAAATAAGGGAACAGTGGCATATTTTTACTGATGAACTGGAACCCTCTCAAATGGTCACCTTCTTCATGAATAAAGGACTTTTTGATGAATCCGATGGAACAAAGATTGAGAAAGCAAAAGGCAGGAAAAGAAAGATAGAGGAAGCCCTACATATCATTCTTGGTTTTCCCAATGACAGGATGAAATCTTTTTCGGAGTTTCTGCTGTTTATGGATAGAAAGGATCTTGCTAGTCTTGTTGATGTTAGCAAGGTAGAGGATAATCACAAAGAAGCAGGTGTGTATTATAACATGCTATTTTTCTGTAATTTTTAGCTCTTCTGAGCTGAAAGCACAAATGAGCTATTCTGATTACCTGTTGACCATCTGTCTGTTAGTCCATCTGTAGTAAACTTTTCACATATTCAACTTCTCAAGAATCACAGGGCCAATTTTAACCAAAGATGGCATAAAGTATCTCTGGGTTTAGTGATATTTCTCAATTATTAAAATGAAGGGCCAAGGGAAAATTATCAAGAAAAGTAGTGTTGTCATGATGATCAATTAATCAATAGTAAGTCATCATCAATCAGAAAGTTCATCAATTTTAGACAATTGATTGGAGATTTAACAAATTGTAGAAAAAAAATTGGCTCTCATATGATACACAGGCTTTCAGACATAGTGTAGATTGAAATGTGATTGAAATTGAAACATGACCAGCGAAAATAGCATGGTGCTTCAATGGATGGTCAAGTTCTACTTGGGATACCAGGGTTATGAGGGTATATAGGAAAATAATGTTATGAAGAACAAGAAGGGCCGTAGGTACTCAGATGACCATTGTGATCCAGTACCTCTGATTATCATTTCAATTTTTTTTTTCTTTCAGAAATTATCAGAGAACAAATTTTAGATCATATTCATAAAATACAAGATGAGATTGAGTCCAGTATAATCCTTGAGACATTTGAGAAGTTTCCACACATAAAGAGGGATGTATTGGATGGTTTTATGGCCAGTTCAGGAAAGTCAAGAAAACAAAGAGTTTATGATTTTCTGATGTTTGTCTTGGAAAATGATGAATTTGTTTTGGAATTTAAGAAGGTTTTGGAGCTAAATTCAATGGGACACTTTTTTAAGCCATCACAAAAAGAGGAAAGGAAGAGACCTATGAGATTAGATGCCCCAGGTATTTAATTGATTTATTTTTTCCATGTTTATTTCCAAAAGCTGGTGCCATTAAAGAAAGTATTACTTTTTCTGGTTGATGCAATTTATTATTTATCCAATAATCACTAAAGCATTAGCACAAGGCAGCAACATAACTATTTCTTAAAATGTTCTATGCTTATCAGCTGTGCCATTTTAGCTCACCTGAATTTAAAGCTCCAATGGGTGGGCAGAGAAGGGATAGGATTTTGTTCTTTAATAAGGTACCAATCCCCTTTTTAAGGAGAGATATTTAAGAAATAGTGGTACATTTGTATTATGCTGGGATCATGTAAAAATTCCAGAAATATTGGACCATTGAAGAATAGATAAAAACTTAGTACACAAATAAACATCACCAAGATATATGATTTGTTTATTGTCTATTGATTTTTACAGTGATACAATACTTGTGATATTGGATGTGCGCAAAATGTCATAGATTTATGAATTAAACTTTCTTTTGTAGCTGCTAAATTCATAGGAGATCAGCTTTTCAAAAGTAGTTATGTTATTCGTACCAATAAGGGTAAGTTTTCAATATATTTTAGAGTAAAATAATTAGCATTAAAACATTAAATATTTAGTTTAGGTATACAGTGACCTTAACATTGAGTATTTTTATGTGATCTAAAAGCAATAAATCTTAATTTAACATTTATGTTATCTTTTTTCTGGAAGCTATTTTTTAAATATATATTACACATTAAATGTGATACATTTTATAGAGTTAGAGTTATTTAGGGAAAAATGTTGCTGTGGGACAAAATAAGACCCACCCACTCCCCAGAGATTAAAGAAAGATTTTGTTTTTTGGTACACTCAAGTAATATTTTAGTATATATTTTGTCTTAGTCAACATTACATGACTTTGCAGGCACTTATGTATATAAATTGTTATAAAGTAATTTTGTAATACAGTTGTTTTTATTTCTCTTATACATGTAACAAGTAAATTTACATAATGATATCAGATTTTAAGTTTGATCAATGATGGTCATAAATTAGAGATTAAAACCCATTTCCTTTTTTACTTAGGGAAAGAAATACAAAGCAAAGAATTGAGTCCCTTAGAAAAAATAATCAGTTCCAAAGAAGATGAGCCACAGCCATCTAAAACTGATAGAAAGCACCTTCCATTTTTACCCAAGGGAGACAAAACATTGTCTGAACAGATATTTGTGTCAAAGTCATTCCTGGTGGATCCAGATGAATTAAAACCAAGTAAAAATTAGCTTCTATAAAATATACAGTGTTTTGATACTTGTATTGAATGCCTACAATTCCACTTTGACCTATGTCTAACTTCCATTTTGTAGAGGAAAAAGATGTGGTGGTAGCTATAGACTTTGGAACCACTTACTCTGGCTTTGCATACTCTTTCTCCACTGAGCCGTCTCTAGTAACGACACAGGAATGGAAGGCAGAATCAGTGGACAAGTCCTTTATGTCACTGAAGACCCCCACCACGCTTCTCTTGGATGACCAGGATGAATTTGTGGCCTTTGGATACAAAGCAGAGCAATTGTACAAAGAATTCGTAGAGGATGAAAGGCATACAAAATACAGATTTTTTAAGAACTTCAAGATGACGCTCCATAAAAAAGAGGTCTGTAAATGGAGGGGGGGGTGAAAATTTCTGAGAACTGTTGAATAAAATATTCATTATTTAACAATCAAAGGAAATTAATGAGTTTGCTATTATTGTAAGGATTTGTCCAAAATATCAAAATTTTAAAGTCAAATTTTGTTTATAGACCATAAGTATAAGTTCCAGCATCCTTTTACTAATTGGACTTACTAATAGAAAGAGATCTTGACATTTTCCTTGTTACCTTTCAGTCCCTGGATTCTACTATGATGATTGAGGATCATCAAGGAAAACCTTTAAGTGCGATGGAAGTGTTCGCTAAATCTCTTAACTACTTAAAAGAGACCTTCTGGGAATCAATCAAATCAAGTGATCGACCTGTGGATGAGAATAAAGTTTTCTGGATTATTACAGTACCTGCTATCTGGGATGAATTCTCTAAGCAGTTCATGAAGAATGCTGCAGAGAAGGTTGCTCATATATTAAATACATGTAGCTTGGTTTATTTATTTTTTATTAGTAACTTATTGTGATTTATGCCAGTCAAGAAGTTTTACATTATGATAGATATATTCATCTGATCGTGGATTGAATTATTGCTTTACACATTATACTATTTATAATACATGTATTCATTAATCACAGGTTGGTATTCCTAATGAACGCCTCACCCTTGCTTTGGAGCCAGAGGTCGCTGCTATTTATGTTATAACTGAGGCCAAGTTAGTTCTTCAAAAATCAACACCATTCACAAAGTATGAACCAGGGCAAAGAATTTTAGTGGCAGATCTAGGAGGTAAGGGATTTCCATTGGAATCTTTACAGTAATGATTTTCTAGTGTTACTCAATCTTAATATGGAACGTAGTTGTCAATGAATATTGGATTATTGTGATGAACATCAATAATTTCCATTCTAATGAAGTATAATGCATATATTGCTATGGGATGATCCCTGAGTACATTTGTTTGCATTTAATTTCAGGTGGTACTGCTGATTTTAGTGTGGTAGAAGTAACAAAGGAATACAAATTAGAACACCTTCATTATGCCAGCGGAGGGGCCTGGGGAGGGAATGCCGTGAATATAGAGATTTATAAAATATTCACCGAGATATTTGGTGAAGAAGTGATGGGAAGTTTTTGGGAGATGAAGGCAGAAGTTTTAGAAATGGAAAATGAAATTGAGTTGAAGAAAAGAGACTTGAAGCTTGAAGGCAAATTATCAGTTAGAGTGTTACCGGCTCTAGCAAGCTTGTGTGAGGAAATACGAGGAGATAGCTATAAGAAAATAGTTGCGCAGTCAAATCTTAAAGAGTCACTGAAAGTGAAAGCTGGTGCAAAGATTATATTTGAAACAGATCTAACAAAAAGAATAATAGACTCTGTGGTAGGTCAAATTGCAAGACACATAAAGACTATTTTAGAAGTCCCCAAGGTTGCTGGTGTAAAAACAATCATCCTTGTTGGAGGTTTTGCAGAATGTGATATTGTTCATAAGTACATTACCAGGGAATTTCCTGAATATGATGTTAAAATTCCTCTTGAACCGGGATTGGCTGTTTTAAAAGGGGCTGTAAAATTTGGACATAATCAAGGTATCATATCGGCAAGAGTTTGTGATTACACCTATGGAATAGAGACAAACCGTTACCCTTTGGCAACGGATCCAAAGGACAAGATTCAGTGGGTTGGAGATAAACGAATGTGCATCGATTATTTTGAAAAAATCATCAGTATCGGGGATATGGTAAAAGTAGGTGAAGAGAGGCAGACGGAGGTATTTGCGTCTACTGAGGACATGACCAAAATGACCGTAAATATTTATAGATCACGACATCCAAATCCACAATTCATCACGGACAAAGGATGTGAATTGTTCGGGGAAATGACAGTAAATATGCCAATAACTAAAGGAGGACAAGAAAGAACGGTAGTGGTGTCTATGAAGTTTGGTGAAACTGAGATTTTGTTTTCAGGGCAGGATAAGACGTCAGGTGAACGACGGGAGCTTACTGTAAAAATCCATGCTTAAATCTTCATACACATTTACATAGATACAGTTTTCAAATTTTGAAGTTACTTTTAGCCTGAATACTGATCATCTTTAAAGTTTTACACAAGGACAGATTTTGTTGGAATCTTTTAAAACCAGTGCCTGGGCTAAAGATATGACTTCAATGAGAAACCAAAGTTATAGGCAATTGTCTTTCATGTATTTTTTAAGAACAGGAGAGCCACAATTAAATCTTCTTCAGAAAACAGTAATTTTGACATTTTGAGTCATCATGCATATATTGTGGATTTAAGTTTGGTTAAGGTAGTCCGATCCTCAGGTTTATAAATTTAGCAGTTAAGTAATCAAAAATACTCATAAAAGTATCTCTGAATTCACAAAGTTATGTAAATTTATCCACAGTATTTCTTTAAAGTTAAAGATTAAAGTTAATCATATTATATAGGGAAAATTGTCAAATTTCCAATATTTTTGCAGAAAATGCGAATTAAAACTTCAGTAATGCATTTTCTAATTGCAAATTGATCAACAAATATATTTTAGGTTAAAAAACAATAGGTATCCAGACATTCAGAGAAATTGTCATGAATTTTATACATATTTGGTATTTTTTGTCTTCTTTTTCCGTCATATATTCTATAATACATAGTGTAAAAGACTCTTATTATCATTGCAAGACACCACACAATACTTCTAATTTCATATCATGGTAATAAGTATTGGTATCTACGACTGGATTCAAGAAAATCTTATTTCTCTAAAACTGTATTAATTTTTTCTCCTTTGGTAGGGTACAAATGTCAACTTTTATAAGATCTTTTCTAAGACTTCCAAAGACCTTGAATCTTTTAGAGATGAATACAATGAAAATTGTTGCATAAAAAATTTCACTTTCAAGCCTCATTTTGATGCATTTCAAATTAATTATAAATTTTTGGAGTTATCCTTCCTGGCTGAGGATCGGATATCCTTAATAGGTGATTACCAGGTAGCTAGGGCTTTATATAGGCCAAAATATATGAACAAAATTAATAGGAATATTAAAAGGGAAAACTTGATGAACCTGAAAAACAGCAGGATCAGAGTAACAAAGGTGAGCAATGTGGCCTGTGAGCCTCTTGTTTATATACTGAAGGGAAAAAGAAACGCAGGGTAAACTTTTGAGGTGAATTAAATTTGTTTTTTCTTAAAATACTCTTTAGTTTTCCTATCTAACTTTTAAAATCATCTTTCAAAAAGATATAACCAAATTCTTATATGATTTTGTGTAATTATTCATGAGTTATTGAAGCTCAAATGACGATACCCCCCAAAAGGGAAAATCGAAAACTCTCATTATCTTCAATGTCCATCTCGTGCATCTGTCAGAGTCTTATTTCTCCTTTGCATGGAATTTCACCAGAGTGTTTATCTTTCAAACCCTGGCTATATTTAGCATGGGTAACCACGCAAAAAAAATAAGTCAAACGACGCGCGCATGCGCCAGTGAGAGGAATACAACAGTAAGTTGACTGGCTCAAAAAACCAAATTGCGGAATTGTTTTCTTTCAAATTTCGTATGAATGTAATGATTATAATCGTGTACACTATAAATGGCTGTTTTTGTGGTAGTAAGGTGGCGATTTAAGAGATGGCAGGATGAATAACCCGCTCGTAACATGGCTCTGTTTCGCGTTAACGTCAGCGTCAGGGTTGATTGAAATCCACTCCAGACCCTCTCTGACAACGGCTAAAAAGTTTTATGGGGGAAAATTTACAAGAGACTGCTTAGTAAACCGTTGTTGCCTTTTTCATTAATGAGGCAATTCGAAAACAAGACCTCATTGAACTTCCGTAAACTGTGCCAAGATTGCAATAAATTCATAATGTCTCTTAATATTGAAAAACGATGTGCATACCTCATATGCATCAAATAATGCAACAAGATTTGTGGACAAACACGTCGTTATCAAATTGCACGTGTTTTGGGCTTTTTAGCGTTTTCCCTAGGTGACGTCATAAATTCTACGGTTGAGTAATTCTGAATACTGATTTTGATGCACAGTAACTAAATTTCCCATCTGACCAATTTTCATAATTTTCGGTCATGTGGTCAAATTTTTATCTACAATTATGCTACCCTGCGTTTCTTTTTCATTTCAGTATATTATTGCTGTTTTGGAAGATCAAAGTAAGAAATACATGTAGCACCCATTTTTAGCATTTTGGAGAATTTTTTTTCACTCTGTTTTGGGGTTTTTTTTTGTTTGTTTGTTTTTTTTTTTTTGGTATTAAAAAATTGAATTAGTTTTTGACTTGAAACTGTTTTTCTTGAAGAGTCTGTTCAAGTTGAAATTATTTAAAAATAATTTCTATATGTTAATTGTTTATGATGTGCAAAGCTTTTTGTGATATCTTTAAAATCTTTTTAGTTATAAAGTTTAAAAGTATGTGATACATTCTATACACAGTATACAAAGTAAGACAAGCTTAGAACGAAGTCCCAATGGATGGATGGTTTTGGTTTGTTATAAACGTATTTGGTTAAATGCGTTTTAGTGCATAATGTATTTTAAAGCCACTGGAAGTGAAAAAAAATTTGCTGTAAGCATCAATTCATTACAAGTGTATTAGCTATAGGTATGTTTTACTGTATAGACTTTGTTACAGTAGGGTTTGGGCTTCCCCTTTCATTGAATTTTTTTTAAATCAAAGTATGTTGGACAGAAAATTATTGCAGATATATTATAATCCCGGTAAATAACTGTTCACGTAACACAAACCCCCTTAATAAGAGGTGGACATCTAATTGCTGGTTTTGCAATTTCCATGCTCTCATTTTTCAATTCAATTAATTTCAGTCGGGTATCATTGTGTAAGACCATCATTTGTGAGGTATAGAGAGATGAGGAGTGTGTAATAGCAACTATTTTGAAATACCATCCAAAAAATTAATTTCCATAGATTATAATAATTTAAATTGTATAAATGACATGGAAACTAAATGGTTGTACTGCCTATGTGAATGTTAAATATATATTTGTACTGTGACAGTCATACATTTTATTATATTATTATTTTAAGTGAACTGAGTGATTCATTTATTTTCATTTAAAAATGTCAATCAATTAGAATTGTGTCAGCTTTATTTGTTATTTACACAATCATTATACATGTGTAACATGCAAGTTAATGTAATAAAATATCTGACATCAAATTTTGGATTTTATTTATCTGCAGCAGTAAGTAATGATTCGAAAATACAAGTGCATAATTAAGTAAAAATGAACTATAATAATGTAATAGCATATATTTATAAAAATTTTAGGCATACTATATTGTGGGTTTTGTATTTAATGGACTGGACGGTATTCATTGCATTTCTAGTTGGCTGTTGCTCATTTCTGGACATAGATGTTGTCTAAAAGTGGCAGAATATTTTCCAAGAGAATGCTGAATCAAGTAATCTGACTTAAAACTAGGATGTCATGAATGCTTGGGAAGAGTAGACTGAAAAACATATTGCTTAATGCTCCAACTTTTGAAATTTGTGTCTATTATACTTTTTACTTTTAAAAAAAAAGTGGATGAAAAATAGTAATTATTTTTTTTTTTTTAGTTTCATGCATGAATTTGAAATATAGTAGACACCCCCCCCCCCTTAAATTAGACTAGAGGAAAATGGAATTTTCCTTAATATAATTTTAAAAATATTTCAAACTATCAATTATTTTGGCACAAACCTGTCATTGGCATCGGTAGCAAATTGAAAGGGGGGGGGTGCTAAGTGGAAGAATTTTTTTTAGACCTTCAAAAATACCTGACAAGCAACAAAAAAGGAATAGGTCTATATATGTCCTGTCCATTGTTTTTCAGAACATTTTTTTTCCAAACGCCACCACTTTCCTTATTTTTAACCTATGCTGCAACGTGTCTGTGGAAAGTGGTGGTGGTGTGTGTGTGGGGGGGGGGGGGGGGCTAAACCTACACCGCAATGTTGAAAGCCTATACTAAGTCTATGTTTGGGGGGAAAAACGGTTCCGATGCCTATGTATGGTTGAAATCATTAACTAATTTTGCAAAAAAAAACCCGCCAATATGATCCTATTAATTTCTAAAAATAATTCTAACTCTGAGAAGTAACCCCCTATCCAGCGTCGATAAGTCCGACGGTTCCGATTTTGCATTTTAATGTCTAGATCCGGTTTCCGATTCAACAAACGCGGGAATACAATAGTTAAAAATTTTCCCAAAGTAATGTAATTGGAATGCTGTTTATATCTCTACTCTTGGCAAAATTGGTCATTAATATCAAAAACACTATATTTTATTATCTGTGCATTTAATTTTTGCTTTGTTATGTCGACAAGGGGCGTGAAGTTTCTCTTTTCTGTTGGCGAATTCGTGCTATGTTTTGAACCAGATCCCACGAAAGCTCGGGTTTTGTATGATGCAAAGGTATTTTTATCTACAATCTTATACTTAATTCTTTTTTTAATACTAATATCTTATTTTTCAAAGTACTTGCAACAACTGCAATACATGTTCAATCGAATGATGACAGATGATAATGATTAAATTAATAATACTCTTTTGAAGTTTTGTATGAGAAATGAGATTCAATGTTTTACAGATTTTAGACACGACTTCCTCTAAAGATTTAGCTGGCACCAAGATTCCTGCATACCATGTACATTTTCAGGGTTGGAATAACAGGTAATTTTTAGTAACACAAATATACACATCTCATCGGCCATTTCATTGGTCATGATGCTATCAAAGATGCTTGAATTGATTAATTATTTGTAAGTTGTAACTCATACCCAAATCAGAGAATTATATAGGTCCAGGAAAATCACTGTATTTAGCTATATAGCTAAATCTACCTATATAGCTATATTTACCTATATAATATAGCTTTACTTAGATGTTTTGGAAAAAGTTTCTGTTTTATGAAAAGCAGACAAAAAGTCGCATATGAATTATGGCTGATATTTTTTTTAAAAGGTTTTTAAAAAAAAAACAACCTAGGGCATAGATAGTAAAAACATTGCCTCTTTTAAACACTTTTTAACCAAAAAAATGCATCTCTGTTGTTTGGATAGCTGGAAGTGCGGTGAGGCATGACTAAGTGTGATTGTCTTGCATTGTGCTCAATTATTACCAATCAATTATCTTGTTGACCAAAACTGATTTTCTTTGTTAAAGTAGCTGCTTACTCACAGATTAACTGTTATACATAGCCCCAAAACTTTTAGATCTTTGATTTCAATTGAACAAAAGGAGAAACATTTTTATAAGTGGGTTTTTGGTGAATTGTTTTCAGTCCATTTCAAAGTTGAAAACTATTATTGCCTCATTATGCGACTTTTTGTCTGCTTTTCATAAAACAGAAATTTACTCTGAAATAGCTAAATAAAGCTATATTATATAGGTAAATAAAGCTATTTAGCTATGGTATAGGTCGCAACTTTTTTTTGGTAGATTTAGCTATATATTTCACTCGCTAAATATAGTGATTTTTAACTGGACTTTATTATATCTGTTATAATGATATTGGAATGAGATTTTAAATTGTAATGTTCCTGTGAAATGTAAAGATTTATTTGACATGTTCTGGATTTTAGTGACTTAATTTTCTATTTAACTTCTCTTCATAATTTTTGATAAGTTTATATGATTTATTATAAACAAAAAGAAATAAGACACAAGTTACTATTCCTCAATTGTTTGCAACAATCCATGTATATAGCTCACATAATGATATTGGAATGAGATTTTAAAATGTAATGTTCCTGTGAAATGTAAAGATTTATTTGACATGTTCTGGATTTTAGTGTGTTAATTTTCTATATAACTTCTCTTCATAAATAAAAAGAAATAAGACACTATTCCTAGCAACAATCCATCTCACATTCTGTCTTCTAAACATTACTTCATGTGCAATATTTTTATTATATTTCAGTTGGGATCGTATTGTTCCAGAAACATATGTTTTGAAAAATACAGAAGAAAACAGACAGTTGATGAAAAAGTTAGCTGACACCACCAAGAAGTAGTGAGTGATCTGAACTTGTTGACAAGCTTTAGTTGCATCAAGGAGATGTAAAAAAACATGATTTGGTTCAAACCAATGTATTCATTTCAGTACAACTTAACGTTACGTTTTCAGTCTTTTGACATTATTTTAATTGGTGTTCCGTTTATTGTCTCCAAAGATTATAAAATCACATTAACCTTCAAATTAAACATACTTCAAGAAAATAATCTTGAAAAAATTGTTTTATACTACTAAAGAAAAGCAACACATTAAAAGTTCTTTTGTATATCACTGTAGTCGGATAAACAGTGCACGTAATAGGAGGATTGACAGAATTCTCAGGAAGGCTTTTCGAGGGAAACCACCTTTGTTTGAAGATGATGGAGACAGTCCATACGAGGATGATGATTACATTAGCTCAGAGAGTGAGAATGAGAAAACAGAGGAGGAGGAAAAGAAAGATGAAACAGAAAACAATGAATTCATTGAACAAATACAGAATGGTTCCATCCAGGAACCTGATTGTCAGGTCAGTAAAGAAAATTCCTTTTTTTACTCTTAATTTGGAAAGACACATTTTAAATCAATATTTTGGTTTTTATAAAAATACTTTTGCTCAAATAAGCTGTTACTGTACTTGTGAAATAAAAACTTTTCATGCAGAGTACCAACAGTAGTGAGGATGATGGGAGTAACTATAGTAACAAGTCTGAGGACAAAAAGGTCATGCATACAGATATTGTGTGTGATGAAATTTTGATCTGATATTTCATATAATCTATAAAGTGTTTTGTGGTAGTGACAGAATTTTCATGTTGTCTATTTCTTTATGCAGAGAAAGGTTAATGTGGACATAGAGCTTCCTCCACTGCTAAAAGAAGAGTTGGAAAAGGACTATATAGCTATATGCAAGCAGGATATGGTAAGAATTTAATCTTCTTTTGATAAAGAAAAGCTTAAACAGTGTATTGATTTATTCTGAAAAAAGAATTGAAAAAAAGAAAATTATAGATTACCGTACTAAATATCAGTCCATCACAAATATTGAAATACAAAGAAAAATATTCATTTATAAGGATGTTTTATTAAAAAAAAAAAGTAAAATCAAAGTAAAAGTAAAATCTGTAGACAAAGAAAGTTGTTTGTTGCAAACTTAAATGTGATGGGAAGGGTAGGAGGGTCTGAAAAGTAATAAATGAAACATTCACAGAAATGAAGCAGGTTTATAGACGATTTATGAATTCATTTGCTCAATTTATGTTTTTAATAACTTAAAGGTAGAACTTTTTTGTTTGCTGTAGGTTTTAAATTTACCAGCACAGCCAAATATCATATCAATATTGGAGGAATTTGTCAAATCTTTTTGTGTGAATGTGCTGTTCAGTAATACAGCTAAGAGCAGTGTTCTCAACAAAGAGGGTTCAACTACCGTACCTGTGGAAAGAAAGTAAGTCTAACTGATGTATAAGATGAGTTTTTGTAGTTTGTTAAGAAAGAAGTAATTTATCTTGCATAGATGGAGATTTGTTTTCCTTTGATTGGGATAGTTCATCTTGTTTTCAGCAGCCTCAGATTTTATATTGATTTTGAGTTGTTCTTTCCTATCGGTCTTCAACTTTTTTTGTTGGTTATCTGATGTTCCTAATCTGCCCGAGACTGTTGTTATGAATTTTTTTTTTGGCTCTTTTATTAATGACTTTTTACACATTGTCAGGTCTTTTGATCTCTAATTTTTATGGTTTAAAAAAAAAACACTTTAGAAATTAGGAATAATCTTTACTTGTATTTGCTATACACAGTTTAGGTAAAAAAAAAAAAATTTGTTAAAGGGAAAATCATTTCAAGTTGTGTTAGGGTTGGTGTTACTTTACAAATTACTTTGGTCATATTTATTATTTTGAGTTTTTCTTGAAAAATGCAAATCTTAGGACAAATAAGTACATGTACATGTATATGAAAAATAAAAAAAATATTTTCGCTTTTACCTCAGCTTTTAAACAGTTCTGCATAACAGTTGGTTACATTGATTGTCTAACAATTCAATGCAATGTTTTACAGTATTCCCCTGTGTAAGGAGATGGTAGATGGACTTCGTCTTTGTTTTGATTACACTCTCCCCCTCATCCTTCTGTACACCTCTGAGAGAACACAGCTTGATAGACTGATTGCCTCACAGAAACAAAAGTCCCATAGCACCGATGGGTTTGTTCATTTCTCACTTTTAAAGTCCTTATTTTCAATAAAAAGTCTGAATTCTTATTTATGAGGATAATATTTCTATTTCAGTCCCACAACAAACTCACCTCCTCCCAAAAAGTCTCCTATGAAACGAAAACACAATTTAAGAACAAGTCAGGCATCCTCATCCAATGGAAATGTGTCTCCTAAGATTCCAAAACTATCCCCTGAAATTTTCAAAGACAAGATTGAATTTGAAATATCGGAGCAGGAAGAGCTAGCTCCCAGAAGATTAACGAGACAGTCAGCAATAGAAAATGCTAGAAAAATCACAGACTCTAAACAGGGGCAGTATGAACACTCCACAGGATCAGAGGAGACCGACAAAGAAGAACAAAAAGTAGAGGGCTCTCGAAAGAAGGAAACTCGTAGAAGTCGTAGGCTCAGCTCAAGTCACCCAATGTGTTCGACAACTGTGAAAACTGAGCCCCCAGACTCGGGGACAGAGGCTCACTCTTCTCGTGATCCTGAGGACGCACCCCCGCCCCTCCTGGTCCCCAACACGGTCACCACGTCTCAGAAGCCATCAGACAACGCCAGTCAGGGCAGCAAGGCCAGCAGCGCGGCGTCATCCGAGTCCTGTAAAGAAGACATTCTGGATAGGATTCTGTCCTGGCAGCTCCTGCCCCCAGAGAAATTACAGGCTAACCCCACAGCACCCTCCCTCCTGTATGGAGCACACCATCTCTTGCGGCTCTTTGGTAATCAATTATCTAAATTTGTTTTTATGTCACCTGAGTTGCTTTGTTTGATTTTTCTCACCATTTTATATAAACATTTTTGGATAGTATAGAGGCAGTAGGATGTATGAGTAGATAAATAGAATAGATTCAGATAAATGTTCAATTTCTAGTCCAAAGATGATTCTGTACACTGTTTAACCACTTCGTAAGGCACAAAGGACTAAAATTCTGTTTTTAGTTATCCTCTTTTATATATTAATTTATTTGTATTAGCTTTTGTTTGCAGTAAAACTTCCTGACCTGATCACCAGTATGAGTATGGAGGACCACAAAGTCAAGGCTCTGCTCTCCCTCCTTCACTGCTTCCTGGAGTATGTACATGTATATTGTCTGTCTGTAGGGAATCTCTAATGTCCTGTAGGGACTAAAAATTAGTACAAAAAAATGAATATTCAGATTGTCTAGAACAAACAGAAAAGTGAATGTTTAAAGATGACTTTATTTTTCTGGAAGAAGTGCAAAGAACAGTTCTTTTATGTATAATGTATTACCGGAATATAAACACACCGAGATCTTTTTACATGTGAATATTATTATCGGTAACTATAGGTATTGATACTTGTTATAAATGTTTCAGTTATCTGATGGAGAGAAGAGAGGAGTTGTTTAAGGATTCCCGCTATGTTCATCAGAGTGACGAGTGATACAGAGGAAGGCTTAATCCATGGATTTACTGAACTCGGACTCTGTAGGGGCCAAAACAAACACTTCTGTGGTCTCCTTGTATTCTTTGATTAAGTGATGTCAGACTGGAGATCATTAACACATTGATACAGGAAGATTGAAAATCTGTGAAGAGAGGCATGGGCAGCTTTAGAGGAATAGATGAATAGTAGTTGAACAAAGTAGAAAAGCATATCCTTGATTTTAAATGTTTTTGTGTATTTGTTTCAGGGAAATTTGTCAAAAGCCAGATTTTTTTTGTATTTCTGGTATACTTAAGAAATGACAAGCTTGATTATATAGTACCACATTGTTAACTTTTGTTACGTTTTAGTGTCCTTGTTGTGTTTACTCCTTCATTATAATAACCAGCAGCTTTTTGAACCGAGGCTTCATCAATGATTACCTAAGGCCAAAAAATATGACAAATTTTGGCTATTTAATTAAAGTTACATTAACACAACCTAAGATTTACCATCATATTTTATGAACAGAAGAAAAGTTGATAGATTACTTTTAAACGTGCTCCTATCTGTAAATTAGTGGATACAGCTGGGTAGTTTCTGTGTACAGCAAGTATTTGTTTATTATTTGTAATAAGTTGCTATTCATTAAAAAAGGAATCATGGCATCCATCCCCATATTTTTGAGGTCAGATATCTAACCATATGGTACATCTAAAATTAGCTTACCTGAGTAAATCTGAAGTGAGTAGATACATGTATGTGTGTTGTAATGATGCATGCTTAATTAGTGTAAAATAAGCACATGAATAAGAATCAATGAGTTTAATACCCACCCTCGCCCCCACCCCCTGTGTTATAATTTTTTTTCCTTTAAGAACCATGGGATAGTTGTACTAAACATCACTGCTAAACATTAATCTCAATCCAAGTTGATTTAAGTTAAGAAAATAGAAAATTAGAAAAGGTTGAAGGTTTTCCTGATCATCCCTGCTGAGACAAATTGGTGTGAAATTCTAATTTGTTCACGATTTCTCTTCAGTTTAGGTTTAGCTGTATAGAAAATTTTCTGTATATAATTATATTATATAGATGACCATTTATCTTGGACAACTGGTTTGATTTAATAGGTTGAGAGAAAAGGCAATACAGGGTATATGTAAAGCAGGCACAATATTGATGATTAAGGCCTCCTGTTTTGCTTCCAGATTTACTGAAATCATGTCTTTTAAATTCAGTCTGTAGAGTATGTAATATTTGTACAATTTTGTCAACCAGACTTCTTTTCTTTCTTTGTGACAGCCAAAATTGTTATAATAAATAGATGAGAAACAATCTGAGTTGTTAATGTCCAATACTCTCTGGGTCTTGTAAGTACTGTAGTTGTATTGTCCCTCTGATAGGACAAACTTCGGAGGAATTTAAGACTGATGTAAGGTTAATTTGAGTAATTGACCCTATGTAAAGAATCTACACAATGTTTAGGAGAAATTTTAAATGTTAATGAATATCTTGTGTCAATATTACTCTTAATGAAATTGTACCAAAACAATAGGATGAGTTGCATTCTGAAAGAATGTCAAAGAAAAATCTGATAATAATAATCTTGGATACACCATTTATACATGTAGATGCAGTGTATTATCTAGTATAAGAGATATGTTTCTTGGGGCATTAATACTAAGTCTAATTATTATTATGTTAAAGCGTATCATTTAGGGAGTAAGCAGATTCCTGTTCCCCAAGGCCACAGGGGCGTAGCAACCGGGGGGGCCAGGGGGGGCTGCCCCCCCACTTTTTTTCCCAACCTTACTTATACTATAGGAAATGTTGATTGAAAGCCTGGTTGGCCCGCCCACTTTTAGTGATGATTTACCGAAAATGTAGTATTAGAATAGGTCCTAAAAGTAGTTGAGACTGAGAAAAGTTAACCTACCCCCCTCCCCCATCCCCCCAACGAAATAGGATTTTCGACTTTGGGCAACTTTTCCTTTTTTTTTTTTTGCTTGTCAACTTTTTCAGGTAAGTAAAAAATTTTTTTTTCTCTGGCTGGCCCAACAACTTTCAAAAACGATGCTATGCCACTGGGCCAGGACTACAATGTATTTCCCGAGGGAAATGGTCTTGGTCGAGGGGAACTGGAAACCTGTTAACTCCCGCAATGATATACTTTTAACTGTTTTATAATAACTGATACAAACGTAAAATTTAGAGGATTGAGATAGCCTAATTTAAAGCAGGGATTAGCTCACTGAACTAACACGGGGATTAGTCCATTCGCATATCGTACATGTACCAATGTAAAAGTAAAATCTAGATGATTGCGGATAACCGAGAATTAGTTTCCAAAGCAGGGATTAGCTCACTTGACTAATGCACGGGAATTAGTCCATAACGATTTCTAGGGAATTAGTCACATCTAATGATCTAATGTTATGTATAGGGAAAAATCAGTAGAGGTATAATAAAAGGAAATAAGTCCAAACATGTAGGAGGAGTATACTCTTAGAACTACCATATATACTAGTATCTCTCGTTTGTCCTAGTAGTGCTTTTTGCAAAAAAAAAAAAAAAAAATCAAGAACTGATTAAAAGTCTTGCTGAGAATTAATGAGGAGTAATGTTTTGAAATAATTTTTTTTAGTTACCACAATGTTCAATAAAATCAGAACCTGATAACAGATATACAGAATATTGAATACAAGTATAGTTTACTTGGTACCAGGTATCAATAACAAAAAATAAACACCGACAGCTTTCTGCTTTGATTAAGGCAAAAACGTAGCGCCGTAGATTTCCTTTCGGATTAAACATTTTAGCGATTCAGGCAAAAACATTTTGTTAAATGATTATCTAAAAATGCTACAAAAGGTGTGGATTGCTGATTATGCAACTTCTGCCAACGTCTCAAAAGAAAGTGTAAGTTTTTTGACATTTTCTTCGTTATTTAATAAAACAGGGGCGGATCCACAGGCACTTGTTTCGTATACTGGATACCCCCTACCTATATTTACCAATATAGGCAGGGGGTACCAAGACATTTTCATGATTTTGTGGACTATGAGTATATTAGTGGCAGAACTGTAGCGGCCTCTAATGGTCAAACTGCAGCTAACTAGGAATTTGGCATTTAAAACCTAAACGGCTGCTATCGGAACAAAACCGCGTTCAATGTTGCTATTCGAAAATTGTACGGCTGCTAGCAGAAATAAATATGTTGAAAACTCTTAGAACAAGTTGTAAAACAGTGAAATTATGCCCCAAATCAAGATAGTCTCTGAAAAGTCCGGGTGCACGAACAAGTAAGGTATTTCTAGTTTTCATGTGTAATTTGCAGAATAGCCCTCTAATAATTTAGAATTAGTAAAATTTCCGAAGCCTGTACCAAATCTTAAGTCAAAAAATACCCAGTTTTCATGCTTTTTTATATCATCTATTATTCAGATTGTGGGTATTTTGGTATTTGATAATCTATAATAATACTGGAAATAATTTTTAAAAATTGAATAGTGTATTTTAAAAGAAATTTTTGGATAAAACACGATTTTTTAAAGTTACGGTTGCTATCAGGGTCATTGCATATATTGCACCGGTTAATAACTGAAAACATCGCATCGGCTGCTATTTGAAAATTTTCCTTATTAACAGAGATATGAAACAAACTTATGGCAGCAAATGTCTAAAATATACATTTTAAATATCACAATTTGCATGTGAAATAAGATGTCTATATATGTAGTTGACTTTTACCATCTTAACTCAGGGGTGTAACTTCGATTTTGAAAGGGGGGGGGGCAGAAAAATTCAAATCTAGTTTTAAAAAGGCTGACATGGAAAAAAAGGAAAATTGTCAAACTTCTTTTATCATTTTTTCTGGACTATACTGCAATAAAAAGGGGGGACTTCAATGAAAATTTTCAATAAAGTAAAAGTTATGCTTGGCAGAAAATCAACAGGCCTTTCAATGAACATTTTAGAAAGTAAAGGTTATGTGTTACATTTAAAGTTTAAATCTAAAGTTTAAACTTATCTATAACACAATCATTTCTTTAAAACCTTTCTTAAGTTAGAGTTTTTGGGGATTTTTGTAGCCTACATGTATACTTAAACATGTATAATAGCTAGTAAAGTTAAAGTATAAGCTTTGTCAAATATTTCTAATTCCATATTTCTTTTTCGAAGTACGGTGATGCATTGGTTCGTTCACTTCGTTGAACGACTAACATGCAATATTCAAAACATGATGTTAGGCTTTTAAGAGTTCTTTAAATTATATAGGTAAGAAAAGACACAAAAGAAAGCGTGGTTTTTACATTAATGTTTTCCACTTCTTTTTACTGTCGAATTTCTTGTAAATTGACTTAATATATTTTCATTAAAATTTGTACTTGAGTAATTATCGACGTTGGACAGCAAAACTTTATAACTTTATGTGAGCTTTATTCATTTTTCAATTCATATTTTTTTAAAAATCAGATATAGAGATTGCTAATTTGTAGGTTTTGTAGAGGTGGGTTGCGTAAAAAAAAATAATCTTCGTTTTTGTGAATCGATAATTATGATTTTTTAAAATTCCAAATCTCTTTAATCAATCTGGCATAATAACATAGCTGGAATATAATAAATTGAATGGTCACATGATTTAAAACACAAAACAGTTGTGTGTGTGTGCATGTGCCATAGACGTCGGAAGCAAATTGAAAGATGGGGGGGGGGGGCTACACCTGGTCCAATGAAAAAAAGATAAGTTTTCAGTGCCTATATTATGTCTGTATCTTTGCAAAAAAAAAAAATGGGAAGGCTTAGCCTGCCTATGTGTACAGGGTACATATGTATACCGGTACATACAAACTCCACTACAACATGTATACATTGTACATATAAATATACGATTAATTTGTCATTATATGATCGAAAGTAACATACACGACAAGTCAATCATTAAGAAAGAATATACGGTATATATATAGTTTTCTTAGGAACTATAATTGCATAACATATGTAAATTGAAGATGTGATTTCATGAAATTTGAAAACTTAAACCTATTCAAATAGTAACCGGTGCCTTTGTCTAATAGTAGCCGTAACACAAGATTCTCTTAATAAAAACGCTCTAGCTCGTAAGAAACCCATGAAAGCGGACAATGATATAAAATAACCAATAATATTTACAAATAGTGTACACAACGAACTGTCGATTCATTTTTATCAAATATCTAAAAGTTTTGACGCAATTTTATTATATTTCTTACGTGCATGTAAATGTGTCCAACGCTTTCGACAGTTTTCGTCTTATATATCAGCAATCCTTCAATTCATTAAAATTCTAAATATACATGTTAGTTTCAAAATGTATGTAACGTTCCGTAAGGGTGAAAAAGCTAAACTTTAATAACTGAATTATTGACCATTTTGTTGAGCCAGCGAAGAAAAATACTTACAATTTCGTCCATTTTTTTCCACTAGCAACCGCTCAATTTTCAGATAGCAGTAACGAACGCGCAATTTTTTCTGATAGCAACCGTTTAGGTACTACACCGTGATTTATCCTTTCCAACCCTGTGATGTCAAGTTCATTTCAGACACAAGTGCTCGTGGACAGGATTATCTCTACCCACCCCCTTTCAATATTAATTTTTAAAAAATCTTCTTTTTTTCATTTCTAATCTCTGACAACTTATTCTTGTATACGCGTATGTGAATAAAAATTGCATATGATTGATATATTTATGTGATTTTCAAATAGAAACCATATAGATAAGTTGTCAGAGAAAAATACTTATTTTAATGTTGAAAAGGGGGGAGGGTAGGGATACATGTCTACGAACACCTGTGATTTCAAGTAGTATGATGGATCATATCTCAAAATTATTTACAAAAAAATTCAAAACTTAGTGGAAAAAAAACAAGCATGACTTAATTGTTTCATACGAATAGGCAAATAAACTGTAAATGTTTCATTTAGTCAGAAACCAGACGCTAACAAGAAATCCCTTCTTTAGGGCACCGCAAAGCGGCGCATCCACTTAAAGAGCATCAGCATTCGACATCGATCTGGATGTAAATTACGTCACTCTGGTCTGTATCGCACATAGGCAAACTAAACCCACACTCACATACGCACCCTGACAAGCACATTATTGTGTTCCCTCCAAATCATCTCCTAGGGGATAATAAGAAGAGGGATAATAAGAAGAGGTGATGGTAGTAAAATGCTATAATATTGAACATATCAAAAATGCATGTACGTATTTTCACAATGAAAACCTATAATTGATGTTAAAGAATGGTAATTTTTCCAGAACTTGTGAATAGTTTTCATGAATGAAACCAAACCACACAGGCAAAGTACATGGATATATCATAGCTAAAAATTAAAATTTCATATGGTTGACACTTGTCTTGTATCTTGTACATTTAATCCAAGGGGATTATTCAGGAGCATTAATGATTTTAATAAGCATCATTTGTTTTGGGGTTGTTTTTAAAGATTGTAATCAGTTCTTGATGTCGTGCAATTTTTTTTTTCTTTTTCGAATAGGAAATGGCACTTGCAGAAAATCTTAACCGTGCAATTATAAGCGGAGATCTTCCGCAAGTACAGAAACTGGTTAAAGAAGGTGCAGCAATGGATTTCCTATTGGGTATGCGTGGAACAGCATTGTGTGCTGCTCTGTCAGCAAACCAAAGCAGCATCGCCCAATTCCTCATCGAAGCGGGCTGTGGAGTTAATGTAGAAGACTACGATAAAGAGCCACCAATTTTCCTGGCGATCAGCAAGAAATGTTTCGACGTGGTACACAAACTGACGCAGCATCCCAAATGTAACCTAAACAAGTACGACCCACTTACCAACGTATCACCACTAGCTCTTGCCGTCAAAAACAACCACCAAAATGTCATCAGGTGGTTCATACAGGCTGGGGCGGATCTCAATGTGACGGACCACGCTGACAATACTGCTTTACATATTGCAATATGTGATCGGAATTACGAAGTGATGAAAATGTTAGTTAAAGGTGGCTGTGATTTGTTGAAGAATGACTCGAATGGAAAATATCCGATGCATCTGATTGCCAGTAAAGGGGATATCAGGGCTATGAGAATTTTATTACAAAACTGGGTATTTTCTAATTATCCCTTTTCTTCCAAAATGGATAGGGAGTATGTTAGCCAGGTTCTGAATAAAATGACCAAAGCCGGCCAAAGCACCAGCACTCCTTTACATTTTGCGATTTCAAATGGTCACAACGCAATGACCAAATACCTGCTCAGGTACGGTGCGTCACCCAATGAAACCGACGACAACTTAACGGAATCCCCTCTTCTCGCAGCTATATACGCCATGTCCTCCCACGTCGGTCAGATTGAGAGTACTACAGTGTCATGGCTGTTACAGGCAGGGGCTAACCCCAATGCTTGTGGTAAATTGACGTCATCAGCTTCTGTATATTCTTACATTGAGACTCCCGTAATGCTCGCATGTCGTTTAAATAATGTTGAAGCCCTTGACATTCTACTATCTCATGGTGCAAAAATGGATATAAGAAACGATGAAATTGGACATGTCAGCAGAAAGAGTCTTCTCTCTATTTCTTTTTCACACAATGCCATTGAAACTGCACGTTTTCTCATCAATGGATGCGGTGTATTGGATGCCAAAGATAACGTCAGTAATTCGGAACCAGATGAAAACTTACTGATGGCTCTAGGAGACATGTATCACCCAGAAGTAGAAGAGTTTGCTAAAGCTGTGATTACCAATGATAATCCGGGTGAATCAGACCTACAGGAATCTCTTATCAATTCTATTATGAAAAACAACATCCATCTTGCTGTTGCCTTGTTACAGCATGGAGTGGACGCCAATAACGTGAACTCAGATGGCTACTGTGCCATTCATCACTGTGTCAAATTCGCAAATAAAGACTTTTTACTGAAACTTCTGCAAAACGGGTCTGATATCAATATAACAACCGCTGATGGACTGAGCCCTTTAGAAATGTGTTTGGAATATTTTGACGAAGACCACTTGGACATGACGTATTTTCTGATTGAGGCAGGATGTGTTATTCCAAATAAGTTTCAACTTTATCCCGAGGATGAGAGTGACGACAGTGAATCTGAATCAGATGAGGAGTGTGATACGTTTTTCGATGACGCTGATTATCCTGCAGCCTTCATGGAGGACAAGCACCTGCGAACTATTGTGACGTCATTGCAGAATCACCCGCAGCCACTTCTACAGCGATGTCTCCACGTGTTACGCATGCACTTTGCGCACAACCACCTGCCATTTATTTCCATGAGACGACTTCCATTACCTAGAAAACTTTTAGATATGCTTATGTTTGAAACTTTCCAAAAGAGTTTTAGAATTTCTTAGATTTTGGTTGCTTTTTGCTGTGTTCTATTTAAGATATTTTTTATTACAATAAAGAGTGTTGTTTTAAAGGTTACCATACTTTCTGCATTTTAGACGTTTCAGGTTTGGAATATCGCATTAATATATCTATACTTTGCTACTTTTTTTGGGTAATCTTTTTTGGTTAATTTCACGCGGGGTTCACCAAACAAAAAAGAAAGGATTGCGATTGCAGTACAATTTGGCCATATGTTTTTTTTATTTGGTATTGTGAGAAATCAAAAACTCATACTTTCTAAATTCTTAGTACGATTCTCAGCTAAGTTTGGCCTTTCTTTAGGCTACTTGTTTACCGCCTGTCAAATGGTGACGTAGATTCTCATTGGTTGCAACAGCGATGTAGCAGATGACTAGCCCCACCTATGAGCTTCCTGTTTTTTACACTCGATGACACATGCGTTAGATTTTATCACATGTATTTTGATGTATATTACTCCTAGGTGAAAAGCAATTGTAAAATTTAGTCAGAATAATGCTTTCGATCTTATGTAATTTGACCGATTCTAATAATAAAATGGTGATTAGCTAATCTGGCGTGCAACCAATGAAAATCTACGTCACAATTTGACAGACGATAAACATGTAGCGTCGAGAAAGTCACGCCCTACTGAAAGGCCAAGCTTAATTGAGAATTGTGCTAAAAATCCACAGAGTAAGATCATAGGAATTCTTATATGACCTTGTAATTACCAATATTTTCAATACGTTACTTCTCCTACATTTTAGTCCGATTTCAATATAACATGACACATGACACACACGTAGACCACACTGAGGTCAATAATTCGGTGTAAAAGGTTTTGATTTCAAAGAATGTTGTTTATGTGAAAAACTTTCAAAACACTACACTCCTACAGTTTTGGTCTGATTTCTATATAACTTGGCACAAAAGTAGACTACAGTCAGCTATACATAATTCTTTTTATAGGTTTTTGATTTCTATAAACGATGTCGCCATGGTTACTATAATTTCTGTGAAATACTTTTAAAAGTCTTCTATTCCTGTAGTAATAGTCTGTTCGCAATCTTGCCACAAACAGAGATTAAATCAAAGATAATTATTCTATTGATTTCTGTTGTTTCAAGTCCAACAGCTACTTTTCTCTTCCTTTATTTTAAATACAAACCAGTAGAGCTACGGTCTCAATAGAGACTTCTGTTTTGAAAAAGTTGCAGCAATTTTCTTAAATAACGTAGACCACATGCATCGCCCGCAAAAATTCTAAGATTAGTGATTTCTCAAAGACTTTTACACAGCATATCGAAATATTGAAGTGGGCGATCTAGCTGTTGATCACAGGCATCTGACGTTGCATTTTTTTTCTTTTTACCGCATACCTGATAGATATTATAAGGTAAGGAGTTATATCTGAGGACTCCATTTTCTAAAAAAGAAACTTTTTAAAAATATCAATTTTTTAGGGCATAACAAAGCCAAAATCAAACCTTCCTTCTGTCCAAGTATTTTAAAATCTGAGATTGATTAAATTACTAGTATCATAACGTAATGCTACCATAATTTTCAACACCATTGAATCACCGAATTTCCACATGTGTTCCAAAAATGAGCTATTAAATCACACGTCTGATTTCATCATCTTGTCGGCTTTATAACTTCATTCTAATTAATGTAAGAAACAATTCCGGAAATTATCAAGAAACTACAACTTTCAAATTCCGTGAAAAAAATTAGAAATGGATATATTTATGCACGTTTTGCTCGGGTGCTAAATGTTATCATCTTGTGTATTATTTAATTAATGTAAGAAACAAGGAAGAAACAAAATTCCGTGTTTCTAAAAAAAATGTTCAAAAAAAAAAAAAAAACAAGGATGTATATTTTTAAAATTCTGTCATGATTTTATTAGACAAGAAAAGAAAAAAATGGTTTTTAAAATCTTATGTAAAATCTCAAATTGTTTTATTAAATGAAATTGTATATCATATTGCTTTTGTTTTGGATGTGTTAAATGTAGAAGACTGCAAGCTTTTATACTTCAACAATTTTCTACGCGAGTTTTACTAATCATATAAATCATTCATGTGGATAAATTTATATAAATGAATGTTCATATTTTTTTTATTTTAATTAACCATCAGCAAGTAATATATCAATTTGAGAAAAAAGAGATAAAACTGTGCTAGGAATATATATTTGTAGTAATAATATTAACGCTTATTACGTATCCCCACCCCGGGCGGTGGTACCGACACGTTCACCTTACATGGTGTACCAGTCCATTTACTGATATCAAAGTCACTGGTAAACCGAGAATATGAGGACGAATTATGGAATTTTAGCTTTTTTCCTCCTTATCGTTTGCGTTTATTCCGAAATATACACATCGATACAAAGATTGACAGCTTTAGCAGAAATAGAAAGTAAACTGTTCGAGAATTTTGAGACTTTTATTCAAAGAGCTGAGGCCACAGAAGTGACGCTTCCTAAAAATGTCACCAGGTAAGTCGGGTAAAATAATTTATCACTTGAATAAAATAACTCCATAATTATTCACAGACAAGAAAAATCATCATGATGAAATTCTGTAAGATTTCATCAATTGTGTGTTTCCAGTTTTTCCTGATAATTTGGATTTTCATCTTCGGAATGCTAATATTTTCTGTCAACCATATTAAATCACTGTTTTCTGCAGGACAGCCCAGTTGTTCTGTTGCATTTCTAAAGTAACGCGGGGGGGGGGGGTTGGGGGGGGGGGGGGTCGTTGTTTAACTGAGATGAGACTTACTGGAATTTATAATTCAAAAATGTCGAGACATGTTTCCATAATTATGTCCTAGGCACTTATATACCATTTTTTTTTATTCTGTGGGTAGTCTGTAATGAAAAAAAGAATATATTACTGATCAGACATGTAGCTGCTTAAAGGTTTATGGACCATATGACTAAAAATTAAATTTGACCTTTGATTTTCTTCCAAATTCGATTCTAGTATGCCGAGAAACTTCAAATTAAGAAGCGAATCAAAGGTCCATTTTGATCTCTATGTAGTCTTACAGTGGCTGGAACGTTATTGTTGACAAATCAATCGTGTAGAATCGTTCGTGTATCGTGAGTGATCGTTCGTGTAACGTGCGAGATCGTTCGTGTATCAGACTCAATCGTGTGCGTTTTTAATCGTGCGAGATCGTGCGTTTAGAATCGTGTAAATTTCGTTTTGTAAGTTTTTATCGGAATGTTATTTGTAAAATGAGCACTTCCCTTGTTAGTTTTTCTTAATTTATTAGTTAAAATCCAAATAAAATGAAAAAGCGCATTTTACATAATAGAATGCAGAACGAACTAATTATCGCCCTAAACAAGCAATATGGTAAGTCGTACAATATTAAGTTCTCGTCAAATAGCGCGATCAATATTGTGATAAACCGCACTTAGATCTTGGAGCCTTTTTGAAAAATCTGATTTTAATTATTATTTACTTCTTATTGTGGTCAAGATAATCTTGAAATCAATTTATTGAAAATAAATATATTTTTTTTTACAAAGAAATAAACATTTCTCAATGCTTACATAACTATAGTTAGTCGACAAATATACATGGAAACGGCATGATTTTCGGGAGTTTTGATTATCTGTGTTTATCTCTTGAGTCTATTTGTAATTGATTAATTTTAAATTTCTGCAAATAAAAAAGTTGAATAATTGGCAAGTTTATCAGACATTAAATCATTGGAAACATAAGGATAAAATTTGTAATTATAATTCAAGTCATTCCATGCTGCCATTTTTGTTCAATCGTATCCCCCTTTCTGCATATCATGATATCCAATTCAATCAAATTATACGACCCACATACATGTACATCGTCTAATAGAACGAACAAAATCCGTGGTTTTTTTTTTTGATCGGAGGATTACCTTAGAAATATTTATTTTTAATCTAAAATATTAAGTCTTGCATATATTTAGTAACAGAAATATCATTTCCCGTTTTTTTTCTCAAAGTCTATGAAATATTATTGATAATTCTTTGAAATCTTAAATAAGTATTAAGCCGTATTTCGTTTTGAAAATATTGAATCCTAAATATTTTGAACTATTTTGAGTGAAGAATCGCGCGTTTGCGTTGACAATCGTGTAAGATCGTGTAACGTGTTGAATCGTGAACGTGAAAGATCGTTCGTGTAACAGGTTTAATCGTGCGTTAATCGTGCGGAATCGTTCGTGTAACGTGATCGTTCGTGTAAGTTGTCAACAATAACGTTCCAGCCACTGTAGTGTATATGTACGTACTAGACAATTATATTCCTGATTCACTTCATAAAAATAAGTGTTTTCCATTTTTCAGATTTTACAATGAAAGAAAGAAAGATTTACGCCTTGACGATTGTCTGAACATGGCTCATCCTATCCGGGCCTTCTATCTAGTGTACAGGGTCTATAACGACTGGGGGGAGGTAATGAGTTCCCTCAACAACAATCAAACGATCAGCACTCAGAGCATCGTGGCAGGTATATCATCTACATTTCTATTTGTTAATAAAGACTATTTTTAACGATTTAGCTTCACTAGACGAAGATAAATGTCCTTATTCGTTCTAATCTTTTTCACTTAAAACTTGAAACACTATTTATCAAATTGGGAAGGGGGATGGGGGTAGTTTTTATACTTTAAAGATATGTACATGTAGATATGGTTACCTTACGTTATCTACGATCAAAAATATATTTGTGTGCATTAATATCTGAGATTTTAAAAAACATATATTAGCAAAAAAAATTTGTACATAGATTTCAGAAGTCTTTATCAATCAGCTGTATCAAAATTGGGATTTTGGCCTGTCCAAAATGACATTAGCGGTTTAGCTGACAATGTTCTGCGGTTGTGGTATACCTATGACCTTCAAGTGAAGGATATTCTGAGAGGAGAGGTGGCATCTGCTGGAACCAGACCAATGAGAGAGGCTGAAATCGAGGCTCTGTCAAACACCGCAGGATTAGTGCGGATGTACTACCACCAAATGAGGTTGCTGCTCGAGCTTTATGATAGAGCTGAGAATGAAAAGGATAGATCCAGGCTGCGAACACAAATATCCAAAACTTATTCTGAGGTTGTATATAAACTTTGTGTAAAGTTCTGTAGTTAAAATCACAGTTAACTTAAGGTCTGACGAAACACAACTTATTTACATATTTTTTTCCTTGAGAATTAAATTTTGTGATAAAAAACATGTTTCCTTAATACAAAATGAGGTAGACTACCATGCATGACACGTATTATCGTTTTTGAAAAAAAGGTGAGAGGGGGTCTTTGTTGTCAACTAACTTTCTATTTTGCAATGCAGAGGAATATGAAAAGGAAGTTTAGTTATTACATATCCGACTTTTTTTCAATTCATTGTGGAGAGAACAGATTCCATTTTCAAATCTTTCTTACATGCATTTCCTGCCATTAAACTTAATTAAATATCTTTCTCTTTTGATCCCTTTCATTAACAAGTTTTCATCTTTAACATTTTAGATCATAACGAAAAAAATATCCATGCTGATTATTCCAACGGTTGTATACACAGGTAATATAGAATTAATAATAATAAGGAATTAATAATGTATATTGTCGTTATCAAAAATTACAAGATTTTAAATGTTCACATTCATTTTATTTACTGCTTTGTTATTTAGTTACCTAGTATTCTTTATTGCATGTATTTTGGATTTTGTCGTGTACTCATTATCTGATTTTCTAATTCAATGATTACTTAACGACAATATCTACGTACTTTTCTTTTATCTCTTAGAAAATAAATTCGTACACAGATGCCCGTAACACACCTTGCTTGATAATATATGATCATTATTTAAGGAATCACTGTCTAGTGAGTACTAGTATACTAGTAGTATGCCACGGCATCAACGCTAGTGGGAAACATGGAATAATTTGCATAACGGGCGATTATCCCATGTTTCCCACTAGCGTTGATGTCCCTGGCATACTATACTAACTAGACCGTGGTTTTTGCCCGTTTTGCAAATTATTCCATGGATGTTTCCCACTAGCGTTGATGCCCTGGCATACTATACTAACTAGACAGTGATTCCTTATATTTCCATTTCATTGTGAAATAAAAGTGTATATTTAGATTTTAAAAATATGTAGACATAGATTTAAATTACACGAGGACTTCCTTCTCAATATTTTAATAGCCCTCGCCCAAGGACGTCAAACATAAAGACAGCCGCACGAGATTTGCTTGCTTATTAGGCCTCCTTAGTTCCTGGCCTATCGACCTGCCTAATTTACATTCCGGTAGAATTATCAAGAAATCAACTCCGCTAACTTTCAAAGAGTTATCACAGAGAAAAAAAAAAATTAGAAATGGAAATATATATATGTATATGCAAAAAGGAAAATTTTTTAAAATACGATTCTTTATATATACACTGGATTACGTTTAATCATACCCTGGTAGTTTGTTACCAGCCACTGCGAATCTGTAACTCTCTTCCCAGTCCCGTGCAGCGACGGTTTTTGAAAGAAGATGGACCCCCCCCCTGAAAAAAAAGATTTGACAAGCAAAGTAAATAAGGAAATGTAAACTGTAGAAATTGACAAGTTCTATTTCGAAAGGGCGAGGACTTTTTTTACTTTAGATTTAGGTTCATTTTTAGCTCTACTTGTCAAAAAAAAGAGCTTATGCGAAATAATAATGAGACTTTACAAGTCCGTCCGTCCTCGTGTTTCTGTCTGTAAACAATTTTTCAAAATGCTACTCCTCTTACAGTTATGGTCCGATTTCAATAGATCTTTGCACACAAGTAGACTACACTAAGGTACATAATTCTGTGCATCGGTTTTTGATTTCGATGAACGATGTTGCCATGGTTACTAAAAATAGACATTTCTGTGAAATTCTTTCAAAATGCTACTCCTCCTACAGTTTTGGTCCGATTTCAATATAACTTGGCACACAAGTAGACTACACTAAGATACATAATTCTGTGCATCGGTTTTTGATTTCGTTGAAAGATGTTGCCATGGTTACTAAAAATAGAAATTTCTGTAAAATTCTTTCAAAATGCTACTCCTCCTACAGTTTTGGTCTGATTTCAATATAACTTGGTACACAAGTAGACTATAATTAGATACCTTAAATAGTGCATCGTTTTTTTTATTTCAATGAACGGTGTTGCCATGGTTACTAAAAATAGAATTTTCTGTGAAATTCCTTTAAAATGCTACTCCTCCTACAGTTTTGATCTGATTTCAATATAACTTGTCACACAAGTAGACTACACTAAGATACATAAAATAGTGCATCGTTTTTCGATTTCGATATACGGTGTTGCCATGGTTACTAAAAATAGAATTTTCTGTGAAATTTCTTTAAAACGCTTCTCCTTCTACAGTTTTGATCTGATTTCAATATAACTTGGCACACAAGTAGACTACACTAAGATACATAGAATAGTGCATTGGTTTTTGATTTCGGTGAACAGTGTTGCCAAATTTTCTGTGAAATTTCTTTAAAACGCTACTCCTCCTACAATTTTGGTCTGATTTCATTGTAACTTGGCACACAAGTAGACTACACTAAGATGCATAAAATAGTGCATCGGTTTTTAATTTTGATGAACGGTGTTGCCATTGTTACTAAAAATAGAAATGTGTGAAAAATGCTACTCCTTCTACAGTTTTGGTCTGATGGCAATGGCTTCTTTTCTCATCCTTTGTTATAAGTACAAACCAGTAGAGCTACAGTCTCGACAGAGACTTCTGGTTGAAATTGCTGGAATTATAAATGCTCGACAAGGTGAAAGGGGGGAGGCACAACTTAAACGAAAGTGTTTTACCGTAGAAAGATTATACTGAAAAAAATGGACCCCCTCCCTCCTCACCGTTCTTCAGATGCTGTAGTCTTCTTCTGATCCCCAAATATTGGATTTAAATCGAGATCGTTCATGTCTGATACAGTTCTTTTATTTGATAATGACACGGAATTCCACCATTTTTTCCGCAAGCCTTTGTTATGGACAATCCATTTTTTGTTTCTTCTATTCATTGGTAAAATTGAAATTGGAATATGTTATAACTAAACTTATAAGGAAAGTTTGATTTGTGAATAACACTTTTTCTTTAAAGATTTTCCAAGACACAGACAATATCTTCAAATTTTGAGAAAAGCAGCAAAGACAAATGTCACCAAAGATGACATATCTGATCTCTTGGTACCAGTGAATAATTTCCAGAAACTCTGTCGTGGTTCTTTGAAAGTAAGTAAATACTAGTTCTAGTATTATCCGTTACCTACGATTCTAAATAATTAAGCAAGATCACACGATAAATCAATTCCCTACAAAAAATATTAAAAATACTATCTAAGTTTCAATTTGATTTTCCATAAAAACTTGGATACTTCTAGTATACTTTAAGCGCCCGCAAGACATAGTTCCATATAATCTAAATCACCCGGTAGAATCTCGCAATTTTAAAAAGAAGTAATGAAATATAAAATCGTAATTTTAAATACTCATAGGCGTCGGAACCGGGGGGGCTAGGGGGGGGGGACTTTTTTTCCAAAGATAGACTTAGTATAAACATTGAATATCGCTAGCCCCCTCCCCCCCCCAACACACACACACACACTTTCCACAGACACGTTGTAGTATAGGTTTAAAACGGGGAAAGTGTATTGTCTGGAAAAAAATTTTTGCACGGAAGTTCGAACCTACTCCCCCCTCCCCCTTACGAAATATGATTTTTGTGTTTGGAGAATGGACATTTCTGTTTTTTTTTTTTTTTTTGCTTGTCAAGTTTTTCAAGGGTCAAAATTTTTTTTAGGTCATACTTAGCCCCCCCCCTTTCAATTTGCTTCCGACGCCAATGATACTAGTACGAATATAAGTTTCTTAAAGTCAATATATTGTATGAAAAAGGTTATTTTCAGCTCTTGCATGCATGTAAAATTGTATGGGGGTGTACGGGAGTCAAAATGGGAGGATACTCTTTTACTGAACGCCTCCCTCTCATGACTTCAGTTACAGTTGGGTTTCCTTTGAGAATGATCATAATAAAAAACACAACTAAAAGTCTTATAAAATATTAAATATTAAATTTATATTGCATATTTTATTAATTTTGTTTATTTTAGACTAAAAGAGAGGAGTCTAAGCTGCGATGTTTTCTAAGAGAGACACCCGTCCCATTTTACTTTTCTAAAGAAGAAGTTGTGAATGTGGAGCCACGGGTTTCTCTGTTCCATGATGTCATTTCCGAAGACGATATTCTCTATCTTAAAAGAGAGGCTACTAAAAAGGTTCTTTGGTTTTTATGCGCCCGAATCGATAGATCCGGGGCGTATATTGTTTTTGTCCTGTCTGTCTGTTTGTCTGTGAACTTTAACCTTCGTCATAACTTTTCAACCATGAAAGATAGAGACTTCTTATTTATATGCCTACTCCACTAATTAAGCTCTTTCAAATGACACCAAGGTCAATGACCTTGTGACGTTGACTGTGACCTATATGCTAAAAATAGCTTTTTGTCTGCAAACTTTAACCTTCGTCATAACTTTTATGATGAAAGATAGAGACTTCATATTTGACATGCAAAATCCACTAACTGAGCTCTTTCAAATGACATCAAGGTCAATTACCTTGTGACCTTGACTGACCTATATGCTAAAAATAGTTTGAACCTTCACTATAACTTTTAAAACATGAGAGAAAGAGACTTCATATTTGGTATGTATATTCCACTAATTAAGCTCTTTCAAATGTCACCAAGGTCAATGACCTTGTGACCTTGACAGTGACCTATATGCTAAAAATAGCATTTTTGAACTTTGTTGCTGCCGGGCGCATAGTGTTTCACAAACACATCTTGTTTTTTCTTTAATGTAAATAAATCAATACTTACCATTCAATAATCAATATACTCTGTATCCTTTTATTGGAGAGCATATTGTCTTCACAAAAGGGTGCAAGAGGTATAATCTACCTATTTGAAAAAAAAAATCTTCTTTTTTTTGGGGGGGGGTCTTCTTATCTAGTCAGTAGTCAATAGAATAGAAACATGAAAGTAAGAATATAAGAATATACAAGTAATCTTTTCTCTTAATTTTAGTTGAGTCAGTCATTGACATCAGATGGTGTGAATCGGATCCGAGTCAGTCAAACGTAAGGGTATTTCTCATATTATAACTCTATACATAACCATAGAACCATAATATGATAGCTATGAAAATTGCATTTTTAAGATTATTTATGCGTTCATGTATGATAATTTTAATTTTGGTAGTGGCTGGGTGCGCGATCCTGCTCATCCTAAAATCTCCAGACGCCTCAGCAGACGGATATCTAACACTGTGGATCTGGATGCTTTCTTTAGAAACAGAGCGTCCCCTGTAGAGGAATGGCAGGTAAGCAGATGTCAGTGTTCTTATGCTAAAACGCTCAAAGGTTTCGAAAAATGACAGTTGCATTGATTCATTCGTTTAAAATATAAGTTTTGTTTTGTTTTTGTGTGGACTTCAGCTTTGTTCTTCTTACCAAGTGTGTTCAATTTGGTTGTAACATAAACTTCAAAATTTTGTTCCATGCTCTTTAACTTTATGAATTTGGAATTTGCTTTGAGAGGTGGGGTGACATGCAGGGAGTTTTGAATAATCAATGAAACCAAAGAAAAACAAGTCAAAATTGGGTATCAGTTAATAGTTTTACACTTATTGAGGATTTTTTTTTATATAAAAATAAACTGTGTTACTAGTATTTACTAAAAGCACACAAAATGAATTGGGAAGGTAGTTATATAGGTTTCCTGTTTATTTTTGTCTTTTTTCTTTGTTTGTTTTATTTTTTTGGGGGGGGGGGCTACATTTTATTTTGTTGGTGTTTTAATTATTAACTTTGCTTACAGGTGTTAAGCTACACAACAGGTGGACATTACGGAGAACACAAAGACCCTGTCGTAAGTGGCGAGAAACAAACGAGTCATAAACTTAGAAATGTTCACATAATATAAAAAAAAAAATTGACTGTACAAAGATTCAACTGCATGATTTAATAATGTTTTATTGTTTGAAAGATGGCGAATTTTAGTTATTAAGTGAATATTCCAAGGTTATTTTTTTCTACTTTGTAGGGTACTGAGGAATTTCTTTGGGAAATGACAGAAGAAAAGCAGAAACAGAAAACATATTATTTGAGATATCAAGGACAAAGGATTGCAACTTGGATGTTCTATGTAAGTATTGATGATTACAATAATCAGGCAAATTGCCATTAAATTAGACTGGAAACATAATATAAAGAAATCTTTTGAGATAAGGTAAGGTTTACAATGTCGCATGAATTAGAACATGCACATGGGGCCTGGTGTGCCCATATATATGGATAAGCATACGTGTATGTAATAAATTATAGATACCATTTAATGCATGGATTTAAAATTGTGTCTCTCTTCTTATCCCAAAACAATTGCTGCACATGCTGGATAAATGTTATTTAAAAGAACAAGAGGCCCATGAGCCACATTGCTCACCTGAGTAACTTTGGAAGTAATTTTTCCATGCTATTCTTTATATTGATATATTGATACAGCCCTTTGCCCATATATATGTAAATAACTTTTAATAAAAACTTATTTTTGTGTATACCAATAAGTAAAATTTGCTTTCTCTAAATCAATTGCTGCAAACATAAATTGATGGATAAATGTTATTTAATAGAATTCCTTAAGATTATATAGAGCAATGACCACAATACTTGAATTTTGTTTTGCTAATAAAGAGTCAATAACTATCTCTCGAAAATAAGGTCTCATGAAAATTAAGTGATCTACAGTACTGATTGTGACCCCACCCTACCCCCGAGGGTCATGATTTTTGGACAATTAAGAATCTACACTACCCAAAGAAGATGCTTTCACACTAGTTTCAGTTTTCCTGGATCATTTGTTCTTGAGAAGAAGATTTTTAAAGATTTTTCATATACATTTAAATGTAAAACTTGGATTCCCTATTGTGGCCCTGCCCTACCCCCTGGGGGTCATGATTTTAACAATTTGAAATCTACACTTCCCAATGTTGCTTCCAAAGTAGTTTCAGCTTTTCTGGCCTAGTGGTTCTGGAGAAGAAGATTTTAAAAAGTATTTTCTTATTTATTCCTGTGTAAATATTTGATTCCCTGCTGTAGCCCCATCCTACCCACAGGTTTTCCCCCTGTATATTTCTATGTGATTTCCTGTTGTAGCCCTTCCCAAATCCCAAGGGTCATGATTTGAACAATTTTGAATCCACACTACCCAGGATGCTTCCACATAAGTTTCAGCTTTTCTGGCCCACTGGTTTTTGTGAAGAAGATTTTTAAAGTTTTTTCCTCCATATTTCTATATAAAATGTTGATTCCCTATTGTGGCCCTGCCAAACCCCTGGGGTCATGATTTGAACAATTTAGAAACTACACTACCCCAGGATGCTTCCATATAAGTTTCAGCTTTTCTGGCCCAGTGGTTCTTGAGAAGAAGATTTTTTAATGACCCAACCCTATTTTGTCTTTTCTTGATTATCTCCCCTTGGAGGAGACTTGGTCCTTCATTTTTATAATTTAAACTTCCCTTTACCCAAGGATGCTTTGTACCAAGTTTGGTTGAAATTGGCCCAGTGGTTCTTGAGAAGAAGTCAAAAATGTGAAAAGTTTACAGACAGATGGATAACGGACAAAATGTGATCAGAAAAGCTCACTTGAGCTTTCAGCTCAGGTGAGCTAAAAATTGTTCAATTATTGCGAGATAATTTCATTGAAGAAGGTCATCTAACAATTATTGTACAGTACAATTTTTTTCAGCAAATTAATCAGGCTATCAACTTTTAAGTTGATCTTGCAATAAATGAGAATTATTGAGCACGACTGCAAATGATAAATTGTAATCCACAACAAAAAATAATTTTTTTTGGTGGAAGGATCTTGTTTCTACAAACTATGTCATTATGACGATGCATGCTTTCACATGCTTCATGAAAATTATATCATATTAGAAAGCATGTGAGCATCTTTTACAATGAATGAAGCAGAGCTAGTGGTATATTGACTGAATAATTTGCTTTGACTTATAGCTCAATGATGTGCAAGCGGGAGGAGCAACGGTTTTCCCTCAACTGAAAGCCCGTGTCCCAGTGGTTAAAGTTAGTAATCCATTTGAGAAAAAACATCATTATATGTATCAGACATACTAGTATTCTTCATGAAAACAGAAAAGAAGAAGGAAAAAAATGTATGCACTATTAAACCACTAATTCAAGATCAGAGTTCCGATATTGTTCACTAAGTGTTAATTATTTTAGAGGAACTAAATACGATATTTTTAAGCCAGTAACCTATAATCTATAATAATCATTTATGCTTCACTTTATGGATATATTTGAAGGGGGGTGCAGCATTTTGGTACAACCTAAAACCTAATGGTCAAGTAGACGAACGGATGTCTCATGGTGGTTGTCCAGTAATTCTTGGGTCCAAATGGGGTAACACCTTCCTTACAAGATCAGTTGAATTTCATCTTACAATTTCTTCAATGTTGCTTCAACTAAATTTCATTTTTTTATTGCAGTTTGTAATAAATGGATTCGTCAAAGTGGACAGGTATTAAAGCGTCTATGTGGACAAACATACGAATCGGAGGACTTTTATCCAGAAAAATATGTATAATCCATCATTTATATCTTATCTACATTGTAGACCAGATATTGTAAATTAACCTGTGATTCATGATTTATTTATTAAATTATTTTTATTTTAACCACTTGCGCACATGTGTATTTCTTTGCAATGAAATAGGTGACTGAAGAAAACAAAGAGTATATAATATATATAAAAACAATGCAATATTCTGTGAAGAGGGCATGAATAATGGGTCTGAAATTTCAGAGCTGGAATCAAATCATGAAATGCCTTGGAGAAGTAAAAATTCCATGTTGACGGTCACATTTGCCACCATATGTATTTAAGTACACCGAACATTTCTTAGTCAAATTCAAAATACAAAAACAATTAAGTCCTAACAATTAGAATGAAACAAGTCAGACAATACGACCCAAAGGGAGATTACATTTGTTAAAAGGTCATTATTTAGAAAGTGCCGACTTTTAATGAGGTTGTTGAAATCCCTGTAACATCAACTTATTTGTCAGTAACCTGTTTCAGTTTAAAACATACTCTGGAGTATCAAGTAAACCCATTGCACCCAAACCAATAAGACCCATAAAGCTGAGGGCAACAGTTCTCAAAATTTTTTTTTTAGAATGATTACTGCATGCATTTTAGTGAAAATAAGATAATTATAAATTCATGCTATAACTCAAGCTTGTGTTACTTGGGTCACTCAGAGTTCAGATTGTAATGAAATGTCTGTATGCTCCAGCTAGTACCTGGTATGTATTTTGCATGTCGCTAATATTATAAAATTGCATTTCATCTGCAATAGCTTCTTTAGTGAGCATTTCAAAATCGATAAAATTACATCTCGCTAAATATAAAAAACCAGTTTTTAAGGGTGAATTGCTAACTTTGCATCACGCAAAAAAATTTCCACTTAAACGGTACATGTATTATCTTATATTAATAAGTATTATTTAGACTTACTTCTTAAAAAATTTTGTTTTCCTTTTCATGCATATCCCTTGTAAAGCACATAATCTCACGAAAAGTTTAATAAAATGTGGTAATTACTCTCATCTCTACTAACACAGAAATAAATTTTTTTTCCAGATGATGGATCTGGTTTTAAAGGTCTGCTACCCTTATTCCCTTTCTGAGTTGGGGGAATAAAATATTTGCCTCCCAACCCTACAGTAAACCAAATAAAGTATCCTAAAATAATATTTGAAACAAACCTCCTCCCCAGTCTGATTAAAACCAGCCCCCTCTTCTCCTTTCACTTGTCAGGAGTCCGTCCCTCCCATGCAAGCTGATAAAATTGGTGAGATTGTATTTGAAAGAGAGCTAATTATCCATGAGAAGTTTCTAATCCCCCCTCCCCTCCCCTTTCCCTTTGTGAAGTTTTCTTACTTCCTTTTTTTTTGCAATGAAAAATATTGATATTTACCCTCACTCTTCTGTTAGTGTAAATGTCTCTTCTCAAAAAATCTGGCTGATTGGACAAACAATATCAGAAACACTTTGAGACAGAATCATAATTCATTCTTCAAATCACCAGTATAATTATGAAATTTTTCTTAAAAAATTGTAAAAAGAAAAATAACTTTAAAAAGAATGAAAATTGAAAGGTATGTACGAACAAAAAAGAAAAAAACACCATGCATTACAGGAGAAAACTATTAACTACAGTAAATAATTGTAAAAGGTATCATATACAAAAAATATCAATATTAAAAGAGTATTTCTGAAACTTTTTTTTGGTGTCAAAAATCAAAGTAATTTAAGACAAGAAGCTAAAAAAAAAAAGTTAAATTTTAACAATTTACATGTAAATAAAAGAGTCTTATTATCGATGTTCCAATCTTAATTTGATTTTTAAAACATTCAAGAATTTATACAGTTAACAAAAATCACGGGTCTGGAAAATGTTCAAATAAATTTTACTGAATTATTGCAAAACTCTAAAATATATAAAATAAATTTTCATTCAGAAAAATTAATAATTGAACCTTTTAAAGTTGTTTACAGTGTATTGTTAAGATCCTGCGAAAAGAGAAATCAGTTCCAAATGCTGATCAAAGAGAATTGAACAATAACCTCTATCCAAGAAATGAACTTTTCCAAAACTGAGCTGGACAGGAGGTTTACTTTTGGAGCCTGTTTTCTCCATTTCACAGACAGCCAGTAGATCGGCATTACTGTGTTTTGCCGGAACTCCCTCTGCGGTCGCCATTGTTAAATGAGCACTACTCCCTTTCTGATGACAGAATCTATCGGGGAAGCTACAATCTGCATTTTCCTCTGGCTTGTCATACAAGAGCAGGGCCTCATCGGAGGGTAACTTAATTCTAATGGCCACCACAGATGACGTCACTATCATCCCCGTCATGACGACGATGAAGCTTTTACCGTAAGCTTCCTGTACATGGGAACTGTTATGGTACTCTAATCTTCCCCTGATGTTGCTCTTAGGCCCACCTAAAAACTTGGCTGTGCAGTGGTATGTTGTGTTTGGCATCTCCTTCAATCTGAAGTATTCTAGAAATTGACTGGAACTGTAATCTGGAAAGAAAAGCCAAGAAATATAATATCCTTTGTAATTTGGATTAACAATACTTGTATTTAATAATGAAGTATCTGTTAATATTTCTGACTGAAATTTTTGCATCAAAATTTATCAATTTCAAATGCATCTTTTGTCAAAACATTATCAGTAATTTTTGGCAAAGACTTTACAATTGTTTTTGTGAAAGAACATGAAAATTTAATAGATGTTCCAATTGTAAAATACTTTATCTGCATGCAGTCTTCAATTTTAGGATTGGCATACATTCTGCATATTCCTAATATTGACAAGATACTCTTCTGATCCTATTTTAGCATGATTAAAATACATGTACATATATTTTTAATATCAACTTACATGTAATTCATATAATACCACACTGCATGAGGCAAAATGACACTCAGACCAAATTTCTTCCTTAAAAATACTTATCCCAAAATAACAAAACCACATTCTTCCTTGAAATACATGTATAGACAAAAATCCCACAGATCATACATGGATTTATTTTGTTCATATTTTAATCTCCTGGTAAAGTATATGATAAAATTCTTTCATTTATCATTTCACAATATATAATACACCACTTTCTGAGTTTCAGGCCTGAAGGAAACAATTAGGTATAAGAGAAGGGGGGTAACAAAAATGCTTGACAAGCTTGTTGAGTTTTGAAGGAGGAACAACCCTATTAAATGAGCTGAAGTTTATGTTAATGATTTTTTTAATGGAAAGTATATTACATGCACTGGCAAAATGAGGAAGGGGTGGTCCTACAAGCTTAACTTTGATTCTATTACATGTACTTAAAACTGTTTATGGATTGAATTGAACATTGAACATTTTTCATTGTTTGCAGTCTTGTGTTCATATTTCTATAAGCAAGCATATAATTATTGATCATTTTTTACCTTCTCCTAACACAAATGAAGAAAATTCAGGAATATTTTCCAAACAGTATGTAAGGGTTCTATAACAATTCTGATGTACCAGCATACTATCTTCCCTGTTCAAAAACCAAGCATAATAAAATGGCACATATTCTTCAAAACCCTTGATCTTTTTACGTATGGTTTCTTCATCAACGTTGTGGCTGTTCCTTGATGCTAAGACACTTGGATTGTTTTTCCAATCAGTTTTGGGTTGTACTAGAACAATAGTATACTGTTGTTGTCTGGCTAGATCCAAGTAAAATTTCATTTCCCATCGTTTTATGTTTGTATTGTCAATGATGATAACATTAGTGCCGTTTCTAACTGCATCTGATGCCTTTTCTTGACAGAATCTGTGAGCACTCCCTAAATCATCTGATCTGTAATTGTACTCACTTCCTCTCATGAAATAATCATCAGCGCTGCACACAACAGCTGTAGGATACACTTGTTTTAGGGCTCTAGCAATCGTAGATTTCCCTGAACCCGGAACGCCCCGCATTATAAATATTGTATTTGATTTTCTTATAAAAGATATTGTTTTTTCATCCTTCAGAAATGGAAAATCTAAAAATGATTCTTCAAAAAATGTTTTGGTCTCAGTCACTGTAATAACTTTAGAGCTCACAACAGCTTCCAATCTTTCTATTCTTTCCTCTTCCTTCAACTGAAAAATGTACAGGACAAAAATTATAAGATGTATATATGAATTGTAACATTTCATTTCTATACTGAATGTAAATGATTATGAAACACCCTGCCTCATGAAAATACAACATTTTGATTTACATTTTTTGGTTAAACTGATACTGTGTAATCATAAATTTTCAAGGGGGTTAAATTTTCTTTGTTCTGAAGGTATGAAGAGACCCACAAATTCATGTCCATCACGAAAATGTAAAATGTTACATACATAACTACTCAACAATTCTTCATCCATGAAAAATCCCCATCAACCAAGATTTTTTCCTATCACCATGAAAATTTGACCCCACAAAAATGTGATTTTACAGTATTTAAACTTTAATTAAATTGTTATACATGTACCAGTATAATTAATGTTTTACTTTGGTTTTACATCAGTAGGTTATTGTATAAAGATTTTGAACAAGAAAGTCTTGAAAATTATGTTTACAGGAGAATTTTTCTGCTTTATGAATTAAATATGCATAATTTTTTAGTACAAGTCCTTGTACTGACCTGGACTGTTACTGTTCTCTCATTTTGTTGGATGGTTACATCTTTTGATTCCTCAGGAGTGATCCTCACTTCAGCTATTGCTGAAACCAGGGAGTTCACAGCAGGTTCATTTGTTTCTTCTTCCTTCAAGACAAAAAAAAAACCCTTTAGGATATACTTTGTGTCAAGTGTATGGTAAAGTGTTGGTAGAATAATCTATGTCTCATGAATTAAAGCTCTTACCACAATACTTAATCCGGGTCCAGAGGTCCACAGGAACTTGTCCGACAAATTGAACATTCAATGTTCTGGTCTGTTTTTAAAAAAAGTCCACAAGTTAAAACATTTTTTAAAATCATGCATGTGATAGATTGTCTATAATAAACTTGATTTCTAGTAATCAAACTAAAAATATGATATTCAACACATTGCTTTGTAAACTAAAAATATGATATTCAACATGCTTTGTAAAAAATGGGTATATGGGAGGTTAATATATTTTTTGAGTCCATTACATCATATTACAGAAAAATGTTTCATCTGAAATAGCAATCGCATCAACTTCACCACAGAGACTTGTGACGACCTAAGGAAAATCGGGTAAATACCGGTAGTATTGACTTTATAGTATTATAGGACTTGAGACAATCTTAGCAAAAAATTTATAGTATAATAATCTCCTATTATACTAGATCTATATCATATACCCAATTTTGCTAAGATTGTCTCAAGTTCTTGTTAACTTCACCCCACCCCCCCCCCCCCCCCATTTGACAGTCTAGATTAATCTTGGTGGAGATTCTGCAGGGCTAGGTATTTCGTCTAGCCGCCTGGGATGCCCACAGACCAAATATCTAGCCCAGCAAAATCTTCTCCGAGATTATGTCTAGATTAGAGAGTGAAGTAAATATTTCAAGCGATTGCAACACGTGTTGTCATCAGTTGACAAGCATTACCAAATGTGTATATCCAGTGCCAGTATTCCTGTCAACCTCATCTGCCGCTTCATTATCACCACATATCTTGGATTCACTGCTTATTTCACTGTAATTCTCTGCATTACCTCTACAACAAGTCGAAAATATGTTTCCCATATTTTGTTTTCTTGTTTACAGTTTAGGTAAACAGAAAGTGGAGACGATTTATAAATAGGAATACCAAACCCGAGGTAAATAACGTAGTCGCAAGGCCATTTGATGATTGCACCCCCTTTCAACCACAGTATACATATGTATAAATATAGTGATTAGGTAAAATCAAATACAGTATGTTACAGGCCCCTGTGTTCAATTCCCCCCTGTACGTCAGATTGAAGCCCCCCCCCCCCCAGCAATTCGATATCTTGACAAAGGAAGCAATAAAAAGTAAGATTGCACTCTTTGATATTGATGATTGCTAAATGTAGATCTCGAATCAATAGGACATTCCACTGCACGGAAAGCAAACCTTGGCGGGTGCAGAAATCTAATCGAACACTGTCGATATCTACAATTACTATTTTGTTTCATTACGTTACAAGCATGGAAATTAAATCAGTTTGAGTATTGAAGAAGGATAAATTTTATAAAATGAAAATTAAAAAGTTCTTTGTGGAATTGGTGGGGTACTCTCTATAATGGTAATCCGAGATTCCTCTGACTATTACCACTGCTTTTTATATTGTGACAGGGGATAAAAAGCATGGGTTAGAGTCAGAGGAATCTCGGATTATATGATGGGTGAAAAGAAATACTGAAGGAATAAGTGGAAATTTGTACGTAATGTTATGAAAATGCTATCAGTTACTTAAACTTAATATACAACCCTTCGTTTTAATTATGTTGAATTTTTCAACCTTCGTAGAAGACAATCTACCGACTAGTATATTGTTTTTTATCTTTCATTACGTGAGTAGCAGGCACAAAGTAACAGGGGGAGGGGGCCGCCCCCTCCACTTTTTTCCCAAAATTCCTTTTACTATTGAAAATGGTCATTGAAAAACTGCCCCCTTTTATCAAAGTAAAGAGACATCAGGAAAGTAATGTAGTATTGTATGTTTGCAGTTGGCATTGAAAAAAGTTGGCCTCTACCAACCCCCCCCCCCCCCCCAATAAATAGGATTTTGCCTGTCAACTTTTCCAAGTAAGTAAAAAAGAATTTTCTCTGGCTGCCCCCCCCCCTTCAAATACGATGCTACGTCACTGAGTAGATGAAATGGTAAAATACAACATTGAAAATGCTAAAAATAATAATGGTAGCATATCATTATGCTTATACTTATTGTATTCTATCGAATTCATGACAATGGAGTAAATTTTTTAAAGTAGATTATCTAAATCAAATAATAACCTGGGTGGAAGGTGACATTCTGAAATAAGATTAAAGATCTTTAATATTAGGGCTGGGTATTGGCCCGAGATTTCGTATTGCGATATATTGCGATATTTGTAACTGTATTGCGATATGTATTGCAATATTTTCAATGTAATTTAAATGGCATTTTCTTACTATATTTAGTTTAATTTACATGCAGAATGTACATAACTATGATAAGTAACCAACACTGACAAATAAAATGTTGGTTTCATTAAAGTTATGCTCTGAAATGTTCCCACAAAACAACTTCTGTCGTACTGTTTGGCTTAATACCAAACTTTCATAAGTCTATTTTTATATTTAATGACAAAATTCCTTAATCTAAGCATATTGCCAATATATCGATATTACAAAATCGTATTGCGATACGATATTTTTTGTCATTGTATTGCAATATATTGAAATATCGATATTATTGCCCAGCCCTATTTAATATAGCATTAAAATATGACAAATAGTAAAGTGTCCTCAAGAAGTCTGCATTTTGAAGTTTGGTAATCCTTTTTTGTGATACATTGTATTAAACATGCATGTAATTTTATGGTTTATAAATCATCAAATGTACATTTTACATACCATAATTTTATATACTAGTATTACAGGTCCGTCCAAGTGTAATTCTAAACAAAAATCATATTTCGTTAGGAATGATGTTGTCTTCCTTGTGTTTAAAGGAATGCACTTTATTGACTGTTTATGAATTATACACATGATCTATACATATTATTTATATGTCTCTGTAAATAGAATCAGTCTGGTTTCCGTGTTCACTAAAAGTGTTCTCTTGAATGCGTGTACATGTATATATACTTCAAAATGTTAAATAAATTCCTTAACAAAGTTCGCTTCCAGTACTAGTAACTATAAGCATCCAAAGGCGGATCCATGGCCGGCGCGCCAACAACTTGCCTAAAAGTAGAATAGATTATGTATTTATTAGCATCAATTTTTGTTTTACTCCTGAGAATATATATTTACGTAAAACACCAAGTGTTACGGACGCGTATTAGTGCCAACCAATATTTTTTTTTAAAGTTGGTAATTCCAACTTTAATCTTGGCTTTTCCAACTTTAAAGTTGGTAATTTCAACTTTAATCTTGGCTTTTCCAACTTTAAAGTCGGTAATTCCAACTTTAATCTTGGCTTTTCAAACTTTTATTCGAGCTCTTCTACCCGCTTTTCTTAGTTTTTTCTTTTAATTGTTTAAAATATCACAAACTTAATTAAAGTGAAAATAACACACTGCAATAGATTTTGTAGCAATTCATCATTGCAATCTAGGGGTAGGGGTCGAAATGGGGGGGGGGGGTAAGAAAAGCGGACGGGCTTTATATTTATGGGGAGTTATAATATGGTACTTTTACAATGGAAAATAAATACTAGCACATTAAAATAAATTGTTGACCTCTTTTTATCTGTGTTTGTTTTATTTTTTTTTACCTTGACCTTCCTTATGACCTTACATAAAACTTCCAACTTTTACTTAGAAATCCTTATATTCCTTTAAGTCCTCTTGTGAGAATAACTTCATCTAAATTATTTACACAGTATTCCGTACATGACAGGATTTCATCTTAACCAATTACGGATATTAGTCATTTATTATGTATTGTATGAAAGAATGAGACAACAATTAAACTCAGCTGTAATAAGTTTTATTTAATCAAATGAAACATTTTCTGCTAAATATACAACATAACTAAATGTATCAATTCCGTACTGGCACGGATCCAGGATTTTTTTTCAGGGGAGGGGCACCCAGCCGGAAATATGTTGACAAACAAAAAATTAATAAGTAAATAAATAATAAATCCTTTCTTAAACGTTAAAAGTCAAAGTTGGAAAAGCCAAGATTAAAGTTGGAAAAGCAAAGACTAAAGCTGAAAAAGCCAACTTTAACAGTTGGAAAAGCCAACTCTTAAAGTTGGAAAAGCCAAACTTAAAGCTGGAATTACAAACTTTAAAGTTGGAAAAGCCAAGATTGAAGTTGGAATTACCAACTTTAAAGTTGGAAAAGCCAAAATTAAAGTTGGAATTACCAACTTAAAAAAAAAATATTGCGTGGCACTAATACGCTTCCGTAGATGATTGGTATTCAATTTGTAAAATTTATTACATCCAACTTGGTCGGTAAATGAAACGTTTTAAAAAAAATCATCCTCATGTATTACAATGTCGTAAAATTTAATGTTTTGCAAGTATTTATGAGTTTCGACGGACTGTTTGGTAACACGTATAGTGTTGATATTATTCTAATATTTGGGAATGTGCGATTTTCTTTCATCTCTTAACTTCTTTACAATAATCATATTATGATAATTATACACGTATAGTGTATTATATTGGAAATATATTTAAAAACTTCATCAATTTCACTTTCACGCAGAAACCACACTCTATACTATCTGTTTCAGTACCTTCCATTTTCCACTTCCACTTGGTAGTTTATGACTTGAGATTCTGGATCTATTGATAGGAATTGTTTCTTGTGATTTTAACTGAAGGTAAAATCTATATAAAATAAATTATTGTCACTCAAAACTTTAAATTACTCAAAAGAAGATGGGGGAACAAGGCGGGCAGAATGCCTATCGCGTCAGATATTAAGAAATCTTATTCAATATGTGAATTGAATATTTAAATTAACTTTAAAATTAGTGAAATTTATGAAACTATTAGAAAAATACCTAAACTGAGAGAAAAAAAAAAACTCGTAAAATTTTTTTCTTTCATAAAAATATTAGATGGAATTCCTGGGAATCGAACCCCAGCAATAAAAATCCGACGAATCATACTGCTTTGAGATTGAGACTAACGCGCTAACAACTATGCTACGTGGCTCATGATGATGTTGGGCATTTAAATCATGTTTGTGATATGACCATTGACTTAATGGACTTAGAGTATTTCTCAAAAAGATGCGAATGTTTTGTCATAAAAGTGTACTTTTAAGGTATAGAGGGTCTTCGCTCCATGTTTTTGTAAATCAAAAATTGAACATTCTATTGCAAACATTTAGGATTATCTTTCAAAAAAATGGAGCAAAGACCCACTCATATTGAAAAAAATTGTTTAAGTATGAGAAAATGATCGTTTTCGTTCTTTTTAGTGTGTGTATGCTTTTTCATTGGCAAATTCAGTCTTTGTGAGATTTTTGTAAATTGGAGAGATTTTACATTAAGTATACTTTAATATTAGATAAAATATCAAATAAAATAAAATTTAGATATAATTGAGATTTAATTCCTCACTTCTTATCTGTCGCACTATAGGCACTTCGCCCGCCTTATCCACCCATCTTCTTTAAATCCTCAATTACTCAAAACTTTAAATTCCTCAGTTACTCAAAACTTTAAATTCCTCAATTACTCAAAACTTTAAATTCCTCAATTACTCAATTACTATTGAGTAAATGGTACTGATTCCACATACCTGTTTATTTGCTATATCTACAACTGCCTCAAATTGATTCTAAATATTTTTATCGTTTAATTTTATTACCATTGTCAAATGTATAATACAATGTACTTTATGTACACTATACAGCAAAATTTTGATTGTTTCCTTGTATTTTTTTTCTTGGCCCAATATGCTACAATGCTTGTTTTTATATGTACAAATTCAGTCTCTACAATTCGACATAAATCATGAATTTGAGAGTAAATGCGCTTGGTTTTAGATGAAAAATTAGCTGCAGATTTGTAGCTTGCTGGTCTAAAAAAAAGGGGGGGGTGGACGACCATGCACAGAGCTACATTGCCTCCCATAGCAAAACCTGTAC